TGCCAGTTCACCCCATGTCACTACTACTCTCTCAAGTCTTGAAGTTTTATGTAGTAATTTCATGTACTGTTCAGAATGAGTGACCTTTTAAGCAGTGGTTGGTGATGAAGAGCCTAGTACCGAATTCTCCGTCTGTGAGTCTCATGCAAATGTTCAAATAAATTCTGAAATCAGCAGTCAGCTCGTTACTGATCAGTACTGGTTCATTCCTTCAGGTTACTTGCCAGGAATTTTGACCTGTAAATTTTTCCTGGTATATACCTGTACCAGAAAATACTCACAGCATATGCATGTAAAAGAAGAGTTGGTTTTGGTATTACAGTTTTTGCTAGATGCCTTGCTGCATTGCATTTTGTCATGAAGACAATTTTTTTACCAGTCCAGTTCTGCCTGTTTGAGGATTACACACACACACACACACACACACAAGTAAAAAACCAAAACCATAAAACAAGTAATTTCTTAAATGGCATTTGTATATATGCAACCCAAACCAGATATGCATGATAGCTAGTAACCATGGACACTGCAGAATTTGTATTATTTGCAATTCAGAAAACACTGAAACTTTTCTTGCATGAGTTCTCCATTCTTTAACATGTAATAACCTGAAATTCATGGTAATATAAGCTTGTTTTCATTCTGTTCAAGACTAATTTTCCTTTAACAAGAAAATAAAATTTACATGGGGCAGGTGAAAGAGAAAGAGAAGTTAAGCTTCTAAAGATATGTCTTCCTGGGATAAACTATAATTTACCTAGGAGAAATACACAGAAATTGATTCAGTATTTCAAATATAATCTATGTGACCTTTTATAATAGGTGTATTCTTCCACTTTTGATGTACTGTTTCTTTGCTTTTCCGTAGGTACAAAAACAATGTTCCCATTGATGTACAGGCTCACCCTGGCAAATATACCATTGAAAATCGATATGGATTGCACTCCCTGGAGATTAGCACGTAAGGGAATGTTAGACCATTTAACAAATAACTTAAACTGAAATGTTGCTATAGATTGAGACTTGCAGAATGTGGACATATCTCTTGGGGATAAGAAGTATCCAGTTTACACATCTGAGATTAATACTTTCTGTTAAATACTGAAGTAGTTCTGGTTTTCCTTAGTAGAGGGTATTGAATTTACATAATTGAGTAATTTGTCTATATTATTCTGTTCATGGTTGACTCAGAAACATACTTTTTCCATTTGTCCTGTGTAAGTACAGTTAAATATGCGAAAAATCTAGTTCAAGGTAAAAATATTAGTTAATGGTTTTCTGGGTATAGAAAGATCCTGGTTCTTACTGAGAAGAGGAATGGGACTGAGGTCTCACTTGTACACACACACTCACACAAACCTTTAATAGTATTCATCTTCCCATTTGGAAACTTTTGCAATAATATCATGTCAAAAATCATTGACAATCAGCAACAATCTAGTTTTGACTATCTAGGTAATATTAGGAACCCTTTGAAAATATTGTATTTACTGTTTCTAGAGTTCCTGCATTAGGCATATCTCCGCAGAAGAGAGTAAATTAGAGAAATCTTGGAGATAACAGATGAATGTTGTCAGATAATTTTTTTTCCTACTTCTACTGTAATCTTAATTTCAAATCTGAAAGAATATTTAACTTTTTTTTTTCATTTTTTTTGAATATTGACAAAAACTGAATGTCTAGAACCAATCCAGTGTCCAGAGCACATCTTCTGAGCTGTTACTTATTTGTAGATCTTACCCAGATGTCTGAAGGTATTTTTAGTCTAGAACAAAGGATTTGCCAAATAGTTACGGGTATCCAACCTAACCATCTCTATCATTTCAGATGTGATTTTGATGATATTGCTCAGTACCGGGCATCTGCTATGAATGTTAAAGGAGAAATTTCGGCTTATGCTTCCCTTGTGGTAAAGAGTAGGTTTGCAAAATATTTCTTTTCTTTTTAATGCATATTTCCATTTCAGTGGCTCAGGGAGCCTTTGCCCCTCAGTGATAGTGACTGCTCTTTTTTCCTTTGTGCATCTAGGGTACAAAGGAGAAATTGATGCAAGTCATTTGCATGCTGGGACGTTTTCCATGCCTCTGAGCCGTAAGTTGCAATACACGTTTGTTTGACACATTCATTTGAGGCGGTGACATCATGACAAATGAATAGGCAGAATGTTTTGTAACATTACTTGAAAAAGGAGCAGGTCATCTTTAGGTACTGAGCTCTTCCATTTCAGATGTGTTCATCTAATTTGCTGTGGGAAACGACATTGCCTTCTAGGTTTGTGGCTATTTGTTCACACAAGAAGCATCATTTTAGTACTGCACTTGACTGTGAAATAGCATCTGTCAAAAAGAGAGACAGTTCACCTCTTGCAATACGTAAAAACAGCTTCAGGAAAAAGGGCTAGGGGGTGCATGTGTGTCAGTAGACTGCTGACTTAATAGATCTTCTCTGCTGCTATGTGATTGCATGTGGCACAAATACGCGTAGCCAGGAGCAAATCTGAATATGTTGGCCGTATCAAGTTAAAAAAAAATAATTATTGTTTTTGTTTTGTTTTGTCTTATCTGAGCATCTAGCTTCACAGTTTGAAGTGATTTACAGTATTGCATGAATACTTCCATGATCAGAAGTGCAAAGAAAATGCAACAATTTATGTATGCTGAGTGACATAAGGGCCATAAGTCCTTATTGCAGCAACACAAGTAGGATAAGGGATGTGCTGCAAAAGCATATGAGAAGTCCTTTATTTACTAAAGCTCTGAAATAACAGAAGAAAGGTCACTCGTAATATTACAAAATGCAAGGCTGTGAGTTTCCAATATTATTTGGAATTTATCATTTGGTAATGGAAGCAAAAGATACCAATGTATTGTTCACAGGAAGACTGTGAGCTATTAGCATAGAGCAGTTGTAGAAAAGAAAAAAGTGACCGTATCAGAACCATTTTCAGGAGAATGATGAAAGCACCTATGCCAGACATAGGTATAAAGCACATAAGATATTCTGTCTCAAATCTAGCTGTAGATATCCCTGTTCATTGCAGGGGAGTTGGACTAGATGACCTTTAAAGGTCTCTTCTGACTCAAACATTTCTGTTGTTCAGGTTATACAACATCAGGAAAGGTAAATTTAGGAACAAGAACAGGCCACCTGAAAGCCCAAGGGAGTGGAGAGCTCATTTTTATTTTAAAAGTTCATTAAAAAGATCTACTTAGGCTAAAAATATGAAGCTGAGTGGACACATAACTGTCCAGAGATGGAGCAAAAAGTTAGAGAGGGAAATAAAAAAGGAGTATACACTAAAGATCTGAATAAATTAGTAGTCATAAATAGAAGTAAGTTTAAATTACAAGCATACACGTTATGATAAAATGATAAAACACCAAATTTTGGAAATTCTGGAATGAAATTCTGAAGGAGCCTTTCCCTGAAAAGCTGTTATATGAATAAAGAAAAAGCTGTTTCCCTGTGATATGTAAGTGCCTGGATTATGTGACCCTGCAATAAACTCTGAATACGGATAATGAATATATGCTGTTTCTGTTCATATCTTAAACTTTACCTGAGTTTGTATTTATAATCACTGGGCACTATTGCTTACTACTCTTATCATGAAATGAAAGAATAAGTAAGCAGCCAGACTTTTTTCCCTTGTACAGTTGGTGTTACCCCACATGGCTTCGCTTCCAGGTTCGAAATCAAATTTATTGACAAGTTTGAGGTAACATTTGGGAGAGAAGGCGAGACGATGAGTCTGGGCTGCACGGTTGTCATCAGTCCTGATATCAAGCGCTTCAAACCAGACATCGAGTGGTACCGCAATGGTGAGAATGTTTGACAAAAAGGAATATAAATTTCTTCAATGTAGATCTTTATAATGTCATGATTTAACAAATACTTTCTTGGTTTCATAAGCAGGAATATTTTCCCTTTTTTTAATTCAAAGCTTTTCCAAATCTAGAATTTTGAAGTGAAACTACTGTTAGAAAACGGAGGAAGGGCTGTGAAAATGTCTTTTAACTTTTTTTTCTTTTGTAAGCTTAAACACTAAAAACATTTTATCAACTCTAACTTCTCTGTGACCCATCAACATAGCCTCTGCAGCTTTTCCTATTTATTACATTTCTCAAGTAATTACACAAGGCTGTTGTGCAGTAGCCAACAAAAAACTGTTACCTTCTAAAGTTAAACTCTGAGAGCAAAGTTGGCTTTCAGCTATGACTGTCTTTGAAGATAGAAAATTGAACAGAAGGGATGGTCTCTTGTGTATTTCCAATCTACTTCAAGCTATACACAGCATTCTCAATGCATTCAGCTAATTCTCATTACGAAATTCTCTAATTTTTAGGTGTTCTTATTACACCATCCAAATGGGTCCAGATGCACTGGACTGGAGAGAGAGCTTCGTTAACACTGACTCATGCGAACAAGGAAGATGAAGGTCTTTATACTCTGCGTGTGGTGATGGGAGAATACTATGAAGAGTACAGTGGTTATGTCTTTGTTCGAGGTAAGATACTGCTTATGAACCACATCACTGGAGAAATGAGGAAAACCTTTTGGCAGAGTAAATCTCAGTCATTTTAGGTGTTTATTTCCTATTTAAATATATATTTTTTACATAATACAGTAGCTTACATAAAATTAATTTCTATAAATATTTTATACAATTGATTTTAGCATTAGATCTTCCAAGTGTTATCTTTGGAAAAATGGAGAGCATTCCTCAAGCTTTGGTGTCGCATTTTAGAAAGCTTATTGGCATTCTGGGGATTAAATTTTTGTTGTTGATGTAACTTCGCCCTTTCTCAGCTTCAGCTTGTGAACAGTACTGAACATAATTCAAAAAAGGATAACTCTATAAAGTAACTTTAAAATGTGTTTTTGTAACATCTTACACTTGCTGACCTGCAGATCAAGATTTTTCTGCTCCAACTGAGAGGTTTTCACTAATGCACAATGCTAAAAAAAATACAGTAGAAGGGAAATATAGAGATCACCACTTGGGGAAGAATAATCACATGCACCATTACAGACTGGGGACTTTGGAAAGCAGCTTTGCAGAAAAGGCTCTTGGGATCATAGTAGAGCGAACATGAACCAGCAATGTGTCCTTGTAGCAAATACCAGTGATATTCTGGGCTGCATTAGGAACAAGGTCACCAGCAGGTGGAGGGAGTTGATCCTTCCCTTCTGCTCAGCACTGGTAAGACATTTTTGGAGTGCCGGGTCTAGTTCTGGACTCCCTAGTACAAGAGAGACATGGACATACTGGAGAAGGTCCGGTGAAGGGCTGCAAAGTGAAAGGAATGTCTGACACATGAGGAGGGGCTGAGAGAGCTGTGTCTGTTTTTTCTGGGGTTGAGAGGGATCAAAGGGTATCTCATCAGTGTGTACAGATGCCTAATAGGAGGAGTAATGAGTATAGAGTGAGTCACTTCTGTGGTGCCCAGTGACAGGACAAGAGACAATGAACAAAAAAAGGAAAAGTTCATTTCAACATTTCAAATTTAAGAAAACACTTTTTTACTGTGATGGTTGTTGAATACTGGTACGAGTTACCTGGAGAGGCTGTGGAGAAGATATCCTTGAAGATATTCAAAGCCCAACTAGACACAATCCTGGACCCCTGCTCTGAGTGTCTCTACTAGAATAGGGATGGGACCTGATGGACACAGAAGGCTCTGCCAACCTCACCCTTCTGTGATTCTGTAAGGAAAAGCAGAAAATGTGACTCTTTAATTTAGGTACAGAATTAAAATGTTATTCCTCTGGGTGTTGTTTGTACCATGAAAAACTTCATTGTATTTCTATTAGAGCAAGTATTTCTTTAAGAAGAGCAGTGGCTTATCAGGTTACGCGCTGACTCTATATCTGTCCCAGCTGCTAAAAGCAGCTGAAGCATGTAATGCTAATTCAAAAGACTGGAAATCTTTGGCTCTGAGAATGTGTTCAGAGTGGTGCCATGTTCCCAAGTTTAGCAAAGCTGTGTGAGATAACAGCCTGCTTGAAAAATATAAATGAATCAAACGTTTTTGTCGCCCGAGGAAAGGGTTTGCTGGGATGTATGTGTGGGACTGAGCAACAAGGAGAAGAATTAGGGATTGTTTTCCTTGCCTGGTTTTAAACTGGGCTACTATATAAATAAATGATTACCTTCATTCCTGCTACATCTTCTAGCACTTAGAGCAATGAAAATATGACCTGACTGTGAACCAGCTACCCCTTTCACAAGAGCATCTTACTAGCCAACTGGTGTACTTGCCAAATTTTAATTAGATTAATTATATTCTACCTACATGCTCTGCACAGCCTCATTTATCCAGCATACTTCTCACTGCTCCTCCTAATTTGTAGACAAGTTCAGTACAAACTCTTAGCTAGTTGCTTATGTGTAAGGAGCTGTCTTTTTGCATCACATGTAGAAATCCTCCTGCGTTGATGGAGGTGAGCAGGGTGCTCATCAGGCTCGTAACACCAGAACTTGGCAGGTTCAGAGAAAATGGGTTCCTCTTACCATGGTTACAGGTCAGCATTCATCAGCAAGCAGCCAGGGATGAAATCCTAGCACCAGTGAGGCTGATGAGCAATGCTGATTGTCCCAGCTATTTCCTAATTGGAAAGAAACCATGGTGTCTCGTGTTCTATCAAGCAAGAGATATAGATAATTCTATAATTCATAGGGAGATCGTTGAAGATATCTTGTTATTGCTCTTAATGTTCTTATTATTTTGCTATGTTAAATGGATTGGTTACTCTATGCATTTTAAAAATTATACCTAGTTAGCTGTAGTTAGAATCTGGATTCAAAAAACTTCGGTACAGCTTCAAAAATTCCATGTAATGCAACTATGCCTAAAAGGGAAGATACAGAGAGAAGTGTTTGTTTATTTTTTCTCTGAAGACTACTGTTTTATTTAATCAAGCATGATAAACACTCATATACCACATTTATTTCTGAAAGCCAAAAGCAGAAAAAACTGGAATTGACATAACTTGTAATACAGAATCCTGTAGCACCCTGAAGCATCAAGCTTTTGTAAAAGTGTGGGGTTTAGATGGAATGCAAGAACAGCATTTGTTAGCAAATCATTTTTCTTTAGGCATATACAGCTGTCTTGTCTTAAGTCAGGTTGTCTTTAGAAGCAGTGAGACTTGAATGACGTTACTTATGACTGTAGAAACTCTCTGTTCTATAGAGAAAAAAATCTCTCTTCTTTAAAAATCTTTCATATAATCTTCTTGCAAGAGTTATTTTGCCCTACAAGAAAATTGCTACATCTCTCAAGCTGAATTATGACGGTGTAAACAGAATTATCAGTTCCCAGCACTATGCTCTGATTTTTAAGCTTTGGGTAAGATTTGTCTGAAAACTGATGTTAGAGTCTGGGCCCTTTGACACCAACAGTCTCCTGTTTGTGACAAATGCTTGAAAGGAACAATGTGCTCGTCCTAAGGAAGGTTATATTCCAAAATCTGTGGTGTAATTCAACTTAAAAAGGTTTTGATAGCTTTTCAGCTCATATACAACCCAAACCAAACAATGAAAGACTATGTGTGAAAGTATTTCGTTCATTTGAAAATTAAACCAGTATTCAGATTGGTCTTTTCTTTAGCATATGTCTTTGTTGTGTGTCTGAGTGTCTAGCAAATAGTTTAATAATTAACAAGACTGATCATTCCAGAGGATGACCTTGAAAAAAACAACAGCAACAAAAATGACACACAGATTTGAAGAGAAGAGGTTTTGCCTCCCAGCTCTTGCTGCCTCCCAGCAGATGAAATCTGAAGGGGGGGAGGTCAGAGCTGTGTTAATATTTCCACAGTCAGTATTTCCATGGAGGTGTATGGCAGTGAGTGAGATCACAGTGGTGTATATCCTGAGACTAAAACTTTTTGACAGAGCCATTGCATAACTGCAAGACAAAATGTCAGCCTAATCTCCTAAGTAACATTGCAGGTAAATAGACATTCTTCCAAGTTTTCATGCACTTTGGCTGTGTCTCTGGCAGCTACCTCATTAGAATCCATGGTACTAATATGTGTTAAAAATGTCTAGATCAGTTATGTTTACAATATGCTGTAAATGCATTTGTAAATGCTGCAAAAATCAGGACTTGAAAAGACACCACCAATATAAAAGCAAACAGTTTTTGAAGCTTTTTCTTGGCTCTGCAGGAGTAGAGTTTTGTCCTTAAAAAATAATTATGAAAGAACTTTGTTTCATATCAGGAAATCTGTGTCTCCATCCTCATAGATGCTGATGCTGAGATCCCAGGAGCCCCTGGCGCACCGCTGGATGTGCAGTGCTTAGATGCCAACAAGGATTATGTCATTGTGTCCTGGAAGCAGCCAGCTGTTGATGGAGGAAACCCCATCCTCGGATACTTCATTGACAGGTCAGCAAGCATGCTGATGTGGAAAATTTGTATTGCTATGCATTTCAATTCAAAAACCTAAAAGCACATTTGAAAGCATGAGATAAAGTAGTCATTTTTATTTTCACTCTTATTGCTGGCTACAAAAAGAATGCTTTTTTAGGCTGGTTGGGCCTGGTATAACTTTAATGAGAATAATAAAGGCCTGCTTCACATAAGTACATAGAAATGATAATGTGAGATGCTGCTCAGCCCTCACTGATTCCTGTGAGGCTCAAGAGGCCTCAGGATACTGTGGTATTGGGGGCTCACAGGATTGGCTCTACCCATATCAGTGCTCTCCCTCCTGCAACCAAACATTTACTATGTACCAGAAAGCAAAATGTGATCTCAGAGGGCGTTGGACTTCTCTTACAGGCTGGTTTTTTTTTGAGCAATTAAGTTCATAACCTTAATGCAAATTACATTTACATGTTTTTCCCTTCAACAATAAGATTTGGAAATATGTAGTTCTAAAAATATGGCCTCAAGTTGTGCCAGGGAAGGTTCAGTTGGATGTTAGGAAAAATTCTTCTCAGGAAGACTGGTCAGGCAGCAGCACAGGCTGCCCAGGGAGGTGGTGATGTCTCTAGCTTTGGAGAACTGTGTGGATGAGGCACTGAGGGACATGGTCATTGGGCATGGTGGGGGGTGAGTTGATGGTTGGTCTTTTCCAACCTGCATGATTCTGTGATTCTATATGAAAATGGAAGCTGTCACACAGTGGTGGGATTCCAGAAGTTTGGGATTTAAGAAATTCAATCAGTATTTCAAACTTACAGCGAAATTTTCAGAGCTGGTAATATTTGTTTCAATTTTAGTACCAGAATATGTCATTAGTAACATGGAAGTCCTGTGGGTTTATTTAGATGCATGTAAATGTATATGTAATATATATGTATAAATGCATTTTATAAATATGGCAATATATTATGCCCTCTATATACAAATTTAATAAATATAAAATGGAGAGATTGTTTTGTGAGAAAATTCTAACATCACAACAATCAAATATTGAACATTGCTTCAGTTTGAATATAACTTCTACTGGCTTGACAGTGTGTGAGTATGAGTTGTTGCTGTAACTGTGCTGCACTAGGAAGCTCTAGCTCTGACATTCTTTAAATAATTCTAAACAAAAGATGGGAGTAGACTCTTAAAAATAATGCTTCATTTTAAAACTCGGCTATTGAGGGATGTTATCACAAAGTGTAACTGCAAGGCAAAAGGCATTTTGCTTCTTCTCTTGTCTTCACCTCCTTCATTCGCTCCTGAATTCAGAGCTTTGTTACTGAGTGTCCAACATCAGTTGTTGTCACGGACATCTGAGAGCTGGGTTTGTGACTGATGATGAACTCTTCTTCTGGCAACTGCAGAGGATCCATATATTTCACATCCTTTCAAATACGCTGAAGCTGACACGCCCCAGGAGTCCCAGAGCATGCTTTGAAGGGTTTGAACAGTTTGAAATGAGTTGTGCCCATGTCTCCTCTTCAGTTCAGGAAAGAAGGAGCGCAGCTGCAAAGGATTTAGCACATTCCCAGATGGCCCTGTAGCCCTGACCCCTCTCCTGCAGCTGCTTCTGTGTCACCAGCAGACATCACTGCTGAAGAAGCTGGGAATGTCCAGCCAATGAACATGAATGGAGCTCTGAGGGCTGGGTGCACGGAGCTTGTGTTTTTCCCTTCCCAGCACCGCTTATCCTGTTTGTGTTTTGCAGGTGTGAGGTTGGCACCACTCACTGGACCCAATGCAATGAGACTCCGGTGAAGTTTGCTCGTTTTCCTGTTACTGGTCTGATCGAGGGCCGCTCCTACATCTTCCGAGTCCGAGCGGTGAACAGAGCTGGTGTTAGCCTGCCATCCCGTGTGTCAGAGGCTGTGGCTGCCTTGGATCCCGCAGACAGAGCCAGACTGAGAAGTAAGATAGCAAGATGTCCTTCTTGCAGCTTGTCTGAGAGATTTAAGAAGTCGTAACTCAAAAAAAAAAAAAAAAAAAAAAAGTCTGACCTATTTACTCATAAGGCTTTGGAATCCCACTAGAGGGAGCAATTCAAAAACAAAATGTTGTCTGGAGGCACATTTGCCAAGAAGGAATCATCTCAGTGCACTTTGCACAGAGAGTTCCAACAGCAGCTTTTGCTGGCAGCAGCACTGCGTTCTGAACTTGCAGGAAGAGGGGAAAAGGCACAGGAGAGTAAATTGCCTGAAGCTTGTTTTTGTTCAACCAACAAATAATAGATCCTGCGAATAGCCTCTCTTTGTGCCACAGCCCATGTGATGACTGAAATCTTGCAGTAACATCAGCAGAATATCAGGGCAACCCAAAGATTATTGAACCTCTCTGTATGGCAGTTAACATTTTACAAGCCAAGGATATTTTTCCTGTGGCTGGGTGATATCCCAGATGCAAAGGCTTTGATGAGGAGTTTGCTCCAAAATCCCTTTCTCTACCCATGTGCCAAAATTATATGCCTAAACTTCTTTTATTTCTACTCGTCTCTGAAGTTTTACTACTTGAAATGGTCCAATGCGAAAGGGGTATTATATGCAAAGCTACAGGTCTCCAGCGGTCCCAAATTGCACGTCTTACTGTGTTAGGCACTGTAAGGTACAGACAGCTATCAGATGATCGAGGTTCCCATTCCAAAAAAACCTGGTTTTATAATCTGCTGGAGGAAGCAGGTTTATCACCACAAGGAAATACTGTGCTCAGAAATGTGAAACCCAAGTTACGGTGGCTTTTTCTTTTCACTAGATAGACTGGAAGCTGTCTCCAAAGAGGGAGTCTGATCTTGGTGCCAATTCCCATTGTATCCCCTCCTCTTCACTGTCACGAACCTCTGTTCAATTTTTGCTCACACTTCCAAAGCAAATCAGCCAATGAAAGGTGAAACGTTGAGGTGGAGAACAGTAGCTGCGAAGATTATCTCTGAAAATATGTTGTTCTGGTTAATAGCTTGATACATAGCTGTGACAACATGATAATGCTAAGGCACAGAGAAAGCCACCCAAACCATATCGCATGGGTATGTTAAGTCAGGCCAAGCACTTCCTGGCATGTGATATGTGACATTCATGTGACAATGGCCCTTGTTTTGAAAGCTGATAATGTGAACGAAAGTGGATTAAAAGGAGAGAAAGAGCAGCCTGCAGGAATTTGGCTCTTCTTTTAATGAGCGGGCTGTTAAACTAAATGAACGGAGCAAGAAAAACAAAGTGGAAGTGAATTCTCTAAAAAAGATGAACTGAGTGAGCCAAATACCTCTGCTTGTCACTTAAGTGACTTCAGAGAAATTTCAGGAAGGGGTATATGTCTCAGTGAACTAAATATTTCTTGATAGCAGAACTGCTTTCAATATTCAAGCCTTAAAACTAGCTTTGAGTATCCCTACATGAGTAGTCACCAAGAATGGAACTCATATGAAGCTTGCAAAGGACAGTTCTGTTGGTTTTCTCATTATTTCAAAAGTTCCCAAAGACTCTTTTACATGATCTCTCTTGCATCTGTTTCAGGTCACCCTTCTGCTCCTTGGACAGGACAGATTATTGTCACTGAGGAAGAACCTGCAGGTAAACACAGCCCTTTTGCCTACAAAAGCCTAGCTGAGTAACTAGCAAAACTTCCATTGAGTTCAGTGGACTTTGGCACACACTCAAAGTTCTTAGAATTGTTCTTAGAGTCACTCAGCCTTGAACAGCTCCAGCTTTAGGTGAGGTTTCATTATTCAGGATGTAATAAACAAACATGCTTAGCAATAAATGAAGGACATTTAAAACTGGTATTTAGATAACTTTAAACCCTAAGTTTTCCAAAAACATTGAGTGCTAAAATGTATTAATGCTTGTTCTATACTTTAATCATAGTACTGTTTCTGATGCAAATGTGAAGAAATTCACATTCATTTCTGTTTCCTACTCTTCTCCACTGTATTTCAGAGGGTGTCATTCCTGGTCCACCTACAGACCTCCAAGTTATTGAAGCTACCAAGAACTATGTTGTGCTGAGTTGGAAACCTCCTGGACAGCGGGGCCATGAGGGTATCATGTACTTTGTGGAAAAGGTAAAATCAGAGAAAATCAGAATCATGTTGTAGCAATCTTCTTTAACATAATCTTTGCTGAAATTTCATTTCCACTTTCAAGCTAGGGTTAGAACTTCATTAAGATTAAGATAAACTACTAAGGCAGATTTATAAAAATGGTTGCAGAATGTGTCACAAACTGTAATATCCTTTCCTGAACTGTGTCATTGACCTGCCATAGGGTAGACAGGCTGACAAACTCACTAAAGTGAGTAAGCACAGTGCAAAGTCACAGTTGTATGTATATCATTTGTCTTAGGGCTGCTACAAAAGTAATGCCTCCTATTTTATGATGTTGGCCAGTGACATCAATGATGGATGTTGGTGGTATGGCAGTAAAGGTTGAACCTTCCCACCAATATTCCATTGCATTTTGTTGCCACATGACAGATGGCAGCAGAGGAGCAGTCTGACATGGAAGTGTGTATGAAGCAAAGGTGTGTCATTCCTCCCACTGTCGTTCATCAACGCTTGCTAAATGTTTCTGGAGACCAACCAGTGGATGTGATCACAGTAAGGCAGTGGGTTGTGTGCTTCTCCAGCTGCCTTTCTGTATTTATCCTCTACACTGGCTTTCAATTGTACTTCACCACCTCAACTAAGGTGACAAAATTTATTTTCTAGAACCAAGTCACTTTTCATTTCAGTGTCCTTCTTTTCTGAGCTCTTCTTTGCATGGTTACTGGCCCAGAAATATCTTCACCATCTTCACCATTTTACTAGTAACTCATTACTCCCACAAACTTGTTATCAATGCTTTTTCTTATCACTCTAGAGCTGTCATCATGAGAGGCATAAATATCTTCCCATTACATGTTTTTCATCTCTCTAATGTAATCTGGTCTGAAGAAAAAAAATTCACTTAGCAACAGACTTACAGAGGGTGAATACATTAATTTTGAGTTTCCATATAATATAGCCTATTTTGATTTTTTGACACCCTACTGCATACAGAATACCAAAAATTAATGTCACATATTTAGGTAAAGTTTCTCTAAGTATTTGAAATCTCACACAAACCTGGATATTCTTTGAAATTATTCTTAATGCAAGGCAAAAATTAATTGCTATTATTAACAGTATAAGTGACCATGGTAAGTAGAACTTCCAGCCACAGAAACAAAAACAATTCACAAATTGAATGCATATCTTCATTAATCCTGGAAGCCACCTCAAAAACATTCTCAGGAGTGACACAACAGCATTTATAAGCAATGTGTTCATGTGGATGGTGTTGAATATCTGCAGAACTTCTGTTGAAAATGGTGTGGAGAGTAAGATGCAGAACTGAATGCAGTTAAAAAATGACAATTCCTTGCTGTGGAGACATGTTTAGCTTTGGTATATTGAAAACAGTAAGCTTGTATGTGTAATTTATGGAGTGACTGCACATCTGGCAGATTAATAAGCTTTGAAATACATTTATACAGTGGAATGGCTAAAAAAAGGGACATGACTCCCTATTCTCCATAGCAGACATACCTTTCATGGTCCAGGTAGGAAGCCTTGTCAGGTTAGAGTCTGTGTTTAGAGAGTTTTGTTCAAAATGTTGTTTCTGGTTTTGACTGCAGTGCATTGCTGGCACAGAGGATTGGCAAAGGGTGAACACTGAGATCCCTGTGAAGTCCCCTCGCTTTGCAGTTTTTGATTTGTCTGAAGGCAAATCCTATTGCTTCCGGGTTCGCTGTTGCAATTCAGCTGGAATTGGTGAGCCTTCAGAAGCAACTGAAGCCACTGTGGTGGATGACAAACTTGGTGAGTGATCATAAGTATTAAGTTATCTTCATGGTATCTTTTCAGTTTGCTATGTGGTTGTTTTGCCTGAAGATAGCTGCTCAGCTTCTAACTTGAAAATGAAGAGTAGTCAGTGATGTATTCCCTTCAGCTAAGATAATTTTGGATTGGGTTGTCAAACATTTAATGTATGGTCAAATGGCAGATACAAACCATGGGAATTAAGCTGCAAATAATGACATCAAGAACCACAAAAGCTGCAAACAGTGGAAGAAAATGACAGCTCAATAAAGTACAAAACTGTTCTGTTTTGGAGATCTTATTGAACATAAGCCCAGACGTAAGCAGAATTTAACCTTCCTTGTTTGCCAAATCAAACAAACGTGAAAGATTTAATACTTATATGGATGCAGAAACTATTTCTGCTGGAAAAAAGTCCCAGATGTTCCCCACAACAAAGAGTTAGTAACTTGTCTATTAGTTGCATAGTAGCTTTGTCTACAGTGGCATTTTCTTCCAGAACACCAATGCAGATTTGAACCAAATTCTCAGGTTGTCTCATTTCACCTCAGTTTGATTTATATATACTACATTCCTTAAGAAGAATAAAACAGTTCTCTTCAAAAAATACTTAGGGTGTGTTTTGCTATTTAATATGGGCATTGCTTTCTAACTTCTTCTGTGCATTGTGTATTACCAGTGCTAAAACAATCAAGATCAGAATGTCACTCTTAATTTTTTTGGTGTGATTTTTTTTATGGATGGTCATTAATTTATTTCTGTTTATCTTCCCCAGATATTCCCAAACCTCCTGGCCGTATTATGCCAACTAGAAACACAGATACCTCCGTTGTTGTCACTTGGACAGAGCCCCCAGATGCCAAGGAGCTGGTTGGATATTACATTGAGTCAAGTGTGGTTGGATCTGGTCATTGGGAGCCATGCAACAACAATCCAGTCAAAGGCACAAGGTAATGGATTTTAGAACATAGAGATTGTGATCACCAGATGGTTGTTCAGGTTTTTGGTTTTTTTTTTGTTATTGTTGTTTTGTTTTTTTTGTTGTTGTTGTTGTTTTGATTGATTGCTTTTATGTGTTTTCAGACGTTACTAGTAGTAGTAATTTTTTAGTAGACAGCAAAGGCTGAAATCACTCTTACACTCTTGTAAGATGTTATAAAAACATATTTCAATGTGGTTCTTGTCCAAAAGTAATTTATAATCAACCTTATACTGAAAACAATTAGTCAAGGGGTGTGGTGGAAACACGGATACTGGCAGGAGGAATGGCTCACTACCTATTTTATCCATCAGTTTGATGAGAAATGGTACAATGAGGAATGAGTGAAATTACAAATGTGGAAAACTGAACTACATCATGTTTGAAAGCAAAATCCTTCAGTTGGAAGACTGCTGTAAATATTTCTGGGCCTGTGTATCTAGCATGTCAGGAGGAAATGTAGACTATTTCATGCTAACAATATTACTTTCTAACTGCTCTGTCACTTGCAGTTATCAAGATGTTAATGGATGCTCATAAGCCACTTGTGCCAATATTATAAGCTCTCATATCATAGAATTATAGAATCATAGAATGGTCTGGATCACTGTTACTTTTACTATGTTTACATCAAGTGTTGATGAAGCTTCATGCTGTTTTCTTGACAGGCACAGGGTGTGTATTATCTAATGTTATTGTGACTGAGACAATTTCAAAGCATTAGCTGTAGCTCATAGTTTACTGGCAGTACATTTTGATGTTTTGAAATTTGCTTTCTGTGGATGTCCAACTGAAAGGTAATGCTTTGGAAAAGCCTGGAGGAATGAGGATGCATGTTCTGTCCTGAAAATTTCAGGTTTTAGTTTTTTTTTCCCTGAAGTAAAATTCTTATTTTGGGAATATGTTTTATATTTCTGATGCTATTTTTCTGCTTATATTATTGCATGATGTCAGCCTTTGAAGCACAGAATATAACATTGTGAAGTATATAATAAAAAGAATACGAAATAAAATACACTTAAAGTACATATTAAATAATATGCTAAAATATTTTACAAAACACTTTTTGTTTGTTTGTTTGTTTCCCAAAAGAAACATTTTATGTCTTGAAGAATTGTGTGTTTTTTCAGGGGGAACAACTTGAAAAAAAACATGACTTTTAAAAATGTAAACATTATATAATACAGCTGAAAAACTATACTAATAAAATAGCTTGTCTGACTTAGAACAATGGAAGTACCATAAAAGTTTGGACATTTTTTTGGAGTCTTGCTAAATGTCCTGTAATTTCTGCGTACGCTCCAGTTTTTCATTTCTGATTGATGTGAACGATGGGGACTTGTGCTACAGCTGTCTTCTGCTTATATCATGAATGAATCCCATAGGCAAATGCAGACCTCATCTCTGCAGATTTTTCCATTGTTTCCATTAGGAAGGATGAATCTTATATATCAGCAAAAGTAATATAGACCCTTCTGTAACACAAGAACTTGTATAGTCTTAGGTGGGAAAGAGTATTGGTAAAAAAGGGTATGTATAAAATACGTGAGTTCAGACATTCTATTTGCAGAAACTAGGTTCTTAGATACTTCATTCTGCTTTCTCTGACCTTCATATAATTACTGGGTTCATATTTTAACCTCAATTTTCAGAAACCAGAATAAATTTTACGGAAGAAACACTTCTCCTACACCCCTTAGGATTTTTATTTTCTTCATAACACTGTAATGATTCATTTGCTGGTTTGTTTTAGATTCATTTGCCATGGGCTTATCAACGGTGAGAAGTACATTTTCAGAGTCAGGGCTGTTAATGCAGCTGGACTCAGTGAATTTTCCCAGGATTCAGAGCCTATAGAAGTACAAGCAGCCATTGGTAAGCTGTTTTCTATTACTTTGTTCAATGGTAAATATATGTATGTATATGTATATTTAAGTAAAGATGTTTTCAACATCTTTTGGTAACTAATTATTCTGGTTTACAGTGTTGTCCACAAATAATACTTTACCTGTAGATCTTACGTATTGCATCACAGCCACACTTTCACAGTCACTGCACCCTTGTAGACTGTTCATCTTCACCATTCAGACTTCTTCACGTGTATCTTGTGAACTGCTGTAGGAGGGCACTGCCAATTACACTTCATAGTCATCCAGGAAGAAGGAATGTCATTCTGATCCTCTAATGTGGTATTTATCTCCTCTAACACACACCATCCTATATATAGTCAGCTCCTAGAAAATGTGTTTTCACACCTAAACCTAATAATAACTGTACTTCTAGCGTGCTTCTTGCAAACCTTCTGTGACCCTAGTGTGCTTTTCCTTTGTTGATGAATTATTTCTGTTTGCAACTGCATGAACTAATCCATACAGATTAATGAGATCACTGGACTAGAACAAATTGTGTGTCTGCAACATCCTCACTGTTATCTATATCAAAATCACAAAATTCAACCTTAGAGCAGAGAGATGTGCTCCTTGGTAATTTTGTAAGATCTTTTTAAAAGAATTAAAATATGACTTGGAAGATCTAATACTAAAATAATTATAGAAAATGAAGATTACCACTAACTTTCCATATTTATTCTGCTCTGAAAATTAGTCATTATTAAAAGAAAATAACTTGTGAGGATGTTGAGAGGTATTCTATGCATTTCAAATTTTTGTGAGTCCAAGCGTAGCTTTTTGTCCATAAGAACTGTGAATTATTGTGGTTTCTTTGTACTGTTCACTGTCTGCATTTTATGCTCTGTTGAGTAAATGACGAAAAAATAATGTATTCTAATTCAAAATGTCTTTACTATTTTCTGGCAATTATAGGGGGAGGATTGCTTCATGGTGTGTGTCCTGAACTGAGTGGTAAAGCTGATGGACTAACAGACTGCACTACCAACTGGGAAGGCATGCATGAGTCCTCCCAGCCTATCTTTGACACAGATGCTTTGCTAAAATGCAATGCTAAATTTAATAGAGACCCGCTACCCAGTAGCTCTGACAAACTGGGAAGTACAGGAGACAGTAACTTGAAAGAAATGGTTAAGGACGCTGTCACATCTGCACCACAAAAAGTTGTTACTAAGCAGGCAAGTAAGTCTCGACCCGGGGATCCTTTGACAATGGAAAAAGTGAAAAAGAAGAAAGATATAGGTGAGAATTAATAAATAAATAGCTTTCACTGCTTTGGTGCATCCACTTTGGATGGCTGCAACCTGCACTCAGCTACACCACAAGTGAACGTTCTCTCCAGTGATGCATCTTCCAGCAGTCATAGTAACTATGTGCTCAAGTCAAATGGAAGTTATTGTGTATCTGTTTGTTATCAGAGACCATTATTACACAAACTTATTAGCTATTGGAAGTGAAACGTCTACTCCTTCACTAATGTAATAGCTTGCCTGGAGTATATATTAATATATCCCGTACAGTATGTCTACACCAGATCAGCAATTTGTTCTCTGTTAGGAGTCTTGTTACGTAGTTTCTGGGTTACGTATGTGTGGAGGAAACAAAATCTGATTACAACGGTAAGTATGAAGATCTGCGTTGTGCAAAGATGCGTGAAGATCCTTTGTGGATTTATGCCTAAGCTACGGCTTATCCTCTGAGATGCAGTGCTAATGAACATTGCATTATATCTCTGACTGATGGTTATATGTAATGAGGGAAACCTATCAAGTTGAAGACACATGGACAAAATCACATTTTATGTTGTCAACACCTAAACACCCATTGCGCCTAAGAAATATGGAGCTTGAGTTTCATTTAAGTCTTGGTACTTGGCCAGTGAATGAATTTAGTTCACTTCCCATGCCATGGGAGATTCATGAAGTGAGATTGAAAAAAGCTTGTTCAAAACTGAACAGCAAACAAGATACAGGGGCTGCAGCTGGGGGTAGCTAACACTGTGATAGAATACCAAAGAGAAAAGTATGTGATGTAAGATTTCCATCAAATTTGGGAGATCACAGATAGGGCTTTTAACCAGTACGTGATATACTAAGTGTGGGCAAATATTTCCCCAATGTGTGTGGAGAGGGCATTATGAGAGAACAGGTTGGGAGAAGTTAATGATTTCTGCGTTGTTATAATTATTAAAAAAAAAAAAAAAGTGGATAATGCTGCAAATTTTGTAAAGTAAGTTCCAGTAACAGACATGTTCCATTTTCAGTCAGCCTACAGTGCCTATGATCATGCTTACTTCCGTTAAGGTAAGATGAAGGGTGCAATGATAAAATCTACACACTGTGTAAATTTAATAACAATAATAGTAATAAACAGATAACTGACATTCTGTGAAGGGAAGAATGTGGGCCTATTAAAAAAAAAAGGAACTACAACAGTTATTATATGTGTGAAAAAGGATTCGCTTTCAGCAAAAGAAAACAAATCATTGCATCTCTAATACTTACTTTTCTTGTAATCATAATTTTAGTTCCTCATTTTTCACGGTTTTAGACCAGTTCATGATCACTTACATCAGAGCTGCAATTGCAACACATTCTTTCACTGTGTATCAGCTTGCTTCTCAAAACCCAGTGATCTTGAAAATTAATTCTTATGCCATTTGGACTTTCATGTTTGCTTTATGGAAGCTTTTATCCTTCATTTCTCATTCCAGCAGAACTCCCCTTGGCCGCACGGGTATTTTCCTAACTTGGAAATGCAGGATGGGGGCCACCTGAATACGGTAACCAGATGCCAGTCTGGCTATTGAGATATTACTTCCTACTTACATGTTATTCATGTTGAAACAGCTGCTCCATCTCCACCATATGACATCACGGTCCTTGAGAGTGTTCGGGACTCCATGGTGTTAGGATGGAAACAACCCAAAGCCACTGGGGGAACTGAAATTACTGGCTACTACGTGAACTATCGTGAAGTAATTGGTGGAGTTCCTGGGAAATGGAGGGAGGCCAACATTAAAGCCATTAGCGAGAGGGCATACAGGGTAAGAGATCAACTTCTGCTATTGCTGAGGGTGCAAACTATATTTCCAAAAGAGTTCTCAAAGTCAGATTAGGATGGTAATATGATTTAGCGCATGGATTGATTTTTCAGAGCCTTATATCCAAGGTGCATATTTCTGCTAACTTCTCATGAAAACATACCAAAATTGTACTAGGGATCATAGTAAACATATTTGTCCTTCCTCTAAGGTTTATCTTGCTTGAAAGGTGGTACACAAGTGATAGACATTATTTTAGTAGTAGCTGTGACCTCGGAAAACTTTAACATATGGTATTAAAACAGTGGTTTTGTGTCATATGGTTAATATGTTATTGAAACTGCAGCTTCCTGTACTGCAGGAATTCTGTGGTACCATGAAATACTTTGTTGTTCTACTAGCTTCCTTGTTAGTGTTTGTCTCAAAGTGATGGAAATTGTCTGTTGGTAGAAGTTTTATGTATACATTTAGTGCAACATTTACCACACTGTTGGTCTTCTGTTTACCTTATTACATAAATTCTCTCCTTTAACAAATAGCTCGCTAAAGAATAGAGAAGCCGGTGGATAATACAGTTTATTTAACTCCATTAAATTATTCTCTCTACAATTATTTGTAAACTTGTCTGTTATTCTGGTACTAACCATAATCTGTGAATTAATTCCTCTGGACATATGCTGGATTTTTGGAAGTAAGGCCCTCAAAACAACTGGCATTCCTATTGGGCTTGGTGGACCTACCCCAGTGCTTGCCGGCACTAGAACCACCTCTGTGCAAGCTGGGTTTTGTGATTAGTTTCTAAAGGCCAGTTTAGAAGTGCAGTGCTAGCTACAATCTATCTGAGCTGCTTTGCAATTGAAAAGGAATGTGAGGACTGAAATTCACCCTGCTGCAAGGACAACTCTCGCCTTAAGTGAACTTGCTGCCTATCATGAGACAGATCAGTGTAACTGTTGAGCAATATCCTGCTCCCTCCGTGACTACCAAAGTCTTTCAGTATGAATAGTTTTAAAATCTGAGCATGCTGAGAATGCTCACATATGTTATGTCACTGATTAGAGGGAAAGCCAGGATAGTTATTCTCTTATGTGTGATATCAATAAAGCTTTCATCTTTTCAGGCACTTCAAAGCATGTTTACATGTTAGATGATTGTGACTTTCTCCTAAGGCCTTAATCCAATGTTAATAAGTACTATTTTATTGGATCTGCAGATTGAAAACCTGAAGGAAAACATGGTGTACCAGTTCCAGGTGGCTGCTGCTAACCTGGCTGGCGTTGGGACACCCTCCCTACCCAGCAAGCCCTTCAAATGTGAAGAATGGACCATTGCTGTACCTGGTAGGATCCTGAGTGTAACATGGGGGTTACTGACACCCATGGGGTGCTCTGGGACAAATAATCTAAGTTCTCAATGTCTTGTTTCTAGGGCAGTCAATGGGTACTGAAGTATATACCGATGCCTGTGCCTCCATCACATTCTTTTAATGTACTTACATTGATGAATTAAGCAATGCCTATGTAACCAGTTGCATTTTACAAACACCTTGTATTTTCTTTATTTTTACTGCTTTGTTTCTGTACTGTGTCTGCCACTGTGCTTCCTAGTTTAAATGGTAGACATAAAAACCTGTCTAACGGAGAAGGCAGAAAGTCCTTGTAGCCCTTCTGTCATGTATCACGTTATTACTTCAAGGCCAGATCTCTGACCTTTTAACACTCACTGAAATTAATGAAAACAATCTTCATTGGCTTCAGTGGACTTTAAAACTGTCCTTGAAGCAGCACATTAGCTTAATAGTTAACTTATTTCCCTGACTTGGGAGATTATTTGTAATTTTTGTTTGTTCGTAAATATTTGATGAAGATACCAAATCTCAAAAACTTGGATTGTTTTTTAGGGCTAGTCTTTTATTAGGTATGAATCCTAGTCATATCTCATCTAGATCTGATACAATGGAACTGCACATGCTCTGTCAGCTTTGGGTGTGCAATGTGTCGTTTGATTTTGTGTTTTGAAGTCTTATGCATTAATCCCTTTGGTCTTTGTTTTGATAACGCAATCCCAATTTTCACTCTTACCTTTCAGGGCCACCTCATGATGTCACATACACAGAAGTTAGGAAGGACTCTTTGGTATTACTGTGGAAGGAACCAGTTTACACTGGCCGTAGTCCTATAGCTGGTTATTACATTGATATGAAGGAAACTGAAGCTAAGGAGGAACACTGGAGAAGCGTCAATGAGAAGCCACTTCAAAAGAAATTCTTGAAGGTAAAGTAGTTTGAGATTCAATACAAATATAACAGAATAATCTTGAAGAAGTCAGTCACGGATAATATAATCCTGTGTAGCATTTATTGAAACACATAGCAGGCTATGTTGTGCCTAGGATGCCCATGTATGAAGTCTGTGTAGTCAGACAAGGCAGTAACTTAGAAGATAATCTGGTATGACAAAAAAAAAAAAAAAAAAAAAAGAAGAAAGAAATAGTGCTGAAACTGCATGTTATTCTTACAACACAGTAGGCATCCCTAGTATTTCCTAGCTCAAAGAGCATTGCTACACAAAAACATTACACAAAAATGGATGTTGTAAATAATGTGGTGTGTGGTTCTTTCAAACACAAATGACTATCTTCACACATTTAATGGCATGTAAAACACAACCATTTCCCACTATTATGTCACGTGACTTTGTGGAATGACTTCTAAGTAAGGAGTCAAGTTATTTCAATTTCAGAGATACATCTGAAGTGGATTTGCTACTTCTATGCTTTCCAGAGCATTTGGAAGACATTCACTTTAGGGTTTGATCTTTTCATGCATGTTTTAAAGGGGCATTTACAGGTGTTACAATTTTACTGCAATTGCTCAAGACAGTAGAACAAGATCCATACAGTTAACTGCCCTTCTGGTTCTATAGAAGTGGGACTGGGACATTTTACTGATAATTTATCTGCAGTATAAGATTGTGCTGTTCCAGAGGTCAATGGACACAAGTTAAAAACATCCTGTTCAAATAACAATGTTCCTTTTGTAAATAAATCAACGGCAGCTGTGGCACTGCCTAAAAGTTAGCTATGCATATGAGGAAAGCATAAATCTAATATATCAGTCATGCTTCTCTGGGACTGAAAAAAAAAAAAAAGAAAAAAAAAAAAAGAGGAAGGAATATTTGCCAACTGGAAAAGGAGCAAAACAAAAAATAAAGGAAATATGATTGTCAGGCATCCAGACTGGTACTGTAAAAAGTGTGAAATTAAAATTGGTGTTTTGTAATAAATCACGCATATGTTTGCTTCCTGCAGATAGCTGGCCTAACAGAAGGGGTGAGCTATGTGTTCCGTGTGCGGGCGACAAACCAGGCTGGTGTTGGGAGACCATCAGATATCACTGATCCTGTTGTAGCTGAGACACGACCAGGTTTGCTAGAAATGCTTCCTCTTTTTTGTCATATTTAAAGAGGTGCATGTCTGTGTGATGTGTTTGCACACAGGCTGCACGTGAACAATCTGACCCCTCTCAAAGTCAAACGTTCTTACTATGCAGGAAACAAGTTGAAGAATATATCCTTCTGCCTGGTCAGATATGTTTTAAGTCAGGGCAGGTTTTCTTATTGTAACAACCTGTTCAGGAATATAAAGTTATATGTATATTGCAGTAGAACGGTGCATGAGTGGAGGATTTGTTAAGATCAGCCCAGCCACAAATTCTACAGTTGTAGGCTTTGTCCTTCCTCTAGTAAATTATTTGTTTATCTCTCTCTTCTGTTTAATTTATGCAGTGTACCTGAGGAAAGGGTAAAAGAAATTACTCTTTACCCTTAGTATTTAAAATAAAGATTTAAAAAATGTAATCCTAAGAAGCCTTGAACAATCTCACAGAGGTTGTAAATGTGATTGAAAGGATATCCGAAGACAGAGGCAGAAAAGAACTAGAAATATTTGAATGGGAAGACTGTAGTGACTATTAGCGGAATGGAAAAGAGGGGCTGGATGGAGTGGATGGTTAAGAAAAGGCAAGACTATGATATGGAGATAAGAGGTAAGAGTGTAGGCAAGAAGGGGTTAGAATAGGAGAGAAATACATGAGCTGTGGAAGGACTAAAATCATTTAGTTGAGAATAGATTTGGTCCAGAGTAAAAGGAAGATATAGTGGTAATGGAGATATGGCCTGAAAATGGTCATAGTGGGAGGAGTGTGGAGCCAGGAGCACCAAAGACTGGAGATGTGGGAAAGAGAGGCCATGAGAAGACTGGGAGCAATGACAGCAAAATCAGAAGCCTGGGAACTTCCTACAGGATGAGATGAAAGGGGGCACCATAGGGTAAATCTTACCATGTTGACAGCTGTAATCATAATAACAGGGCAAGCAGGATTGCTCATCCCACTGTTCTGGCCATCCATACCTCAGCTTCATCTCTCACAGCTACTGCATCTCTTTTCTTTTCTTTCAAAAATAAAGTAGCCCTAAATTCAGACCAACAAACCAGTGAAGAAGCATTAAGGTTGCTTGCATCATCTGCAAGTAGAGCAAGGCAAGACTTAGAAACTGATTCTTGAAAACAGCTTAGATACTACAATAACAACCACTTCTAAAATGAACATCAAAACAGTATTAGTACTGAACTTTTGCTTTTACTAAGCTATTTTCCTTGAGGATTAACATCTATCCATCAGATTTTTTTATAAAAACTTGTTATGATAATAACATTTAAATGTATGAAATAAATGATTGATCATGCAATTAAAATAATATATGAATGTAAACTGTTCTGAAGACAATCATCATAACAAAAAAAAAGATTTTTCAGCAGTTTTCATGGTCCAATGTGGCCCAACCTCAATCTAGCACCACGAATGTGAGTAGAATATTTGTTTTGCGATCCTCACAGTTAGAGAAGGTGATGAATCTCAGGACTGTGACCCTTTTGCAAGCCAGGCTGCTGTTCAGCGTTGTGATGTCTGATGGATCTCAAGAAAGTCAGGGAAGTTGAAAATGATTTCTTTATACAAATCTGATTTACCCATATTTTGAGCTAAGGTATGCAGATACACTGTTCACCGAACTAAGCTTCTTAGTAGTGCTAAGAAATAACAAAAGGCTTATTAAAAAACGTATTTCAGAAAGCAGTCTCCTGAATAGGCTTTCAGCTTTCTCACTCAAACCACACAAATCTCAAGAACAATCATACTATTTTTAAAAATTACCACAAATCTTCTGGTGTTGCCCAGTGAATACTGTCTTTATTAACATCGTGGATGGAGACAAAATATCGTAAGATCTCTCTAGACAATTCCTGCTGGAATGTCACTGGAATGTTGGCAAACGTAAAACTGCCAAGGAGACTGAGCTCTCTAACCAAAGAATGTAAGTAAATAACATCCTGAATGGAAATACTTGTTTTAAAATGAGTGATATCAATTTTCTTTATCCAGTTACATGTATTAATAGAATGGTATGATAGTTTCCATCCTTGTTGAAAAACTGTATTCCATTTTTACAGTTATCTCTTAAAACTAAATAAAAAGCCCACACACATAAAAGAGAAAGAAAAAAAAAAGAAAAAAAAATTCAGCAATGCTGGCTCGTCTTGAGCTGAAATTTTATCTTTGGACAAAATCACTTTGGTGATTTTGCAGATCTCTCAGGAGGCAAGAGAAGTCTAGGAGCAACTGCATTTCTTTCCTGATCCTTCCCAGGTCTGCTCTTAGTCCTTTCGCACACTGGCATAAACAGAAGTTAGATTCAAACCATGCATCAGCTGCTTCAGGAGGGCTTGGCACAGGAATTTGATCTGCCCTGGGGCTCAGACTATGGGATCCAACTGTTAACCTTACCTGAAGTGTTTTGCTGTGGGCTTTTGTAAAGCCATTTTACAGGAGGCCTTCTACATGTTTGTGTGAATTCTTGGCTGCAAGATGGTGCTTTTTCAGGGGCTTTTTCAGTCAGGGCGACCTGCTGGAAGTCCCTGCACTCAGCTGGCCTCTCACAATGCAATCAGAAGCATACTAAGATAGTATAAAATTGCAATTACCTGATTCTTCTGATTCTGCCCTTGGTGCTGCTGTGACCAAAGCCATAGCAGAACTAAAAATTTAATCCGATGGCAACCACAAATTTACTTTAATCGCAAAGCCAGTCATCACCAAAATCCCTTCAGCTAACCAATAGGCAAGTTTAACCTTGATGAGAGAGGTTTTGAGCAGCATGTTTGGGAAGTTTTATGACAAAATATCAGAAATTAATGAAATTAATCTCAGTCAATTTTTCTGACTAGCTGTAGACAAAATGGTGCCCGTAACTCCAGTGTTTTGTTGCTGTCTGCTTTATCTTAACATTACCTCTTTCCTTTCAGTGTAATGAAGCCCTTGGATCAGTGCACTTAATCAGTATTTGATATGGTATCTAAGTATTTTATTTTTTATCAGAACTTTAGGAGTGACTCTGGATGATTTGTACAAACCACCACATTACCTAGAAAGGGGAAATTAGACTGCTACTATTATGGCAGCTTCTTTGGTTTCACACTGTGGGGTAGGCAAGTCCTCTGCCACAGTAGTTTAAAAATACGTATTTTTCTGACTTCTGCATAACTATTAGAAGTAAAAACCATCATCACTTCTGGAGATACATGCTATGCATTGTTATCATCACCTCATTGTGGCCTTCCAATATTTGAAGGGAGTGTATAAACAGGAGGGGGAGTGACTGTTTACAAGGGTGGATAGTGACAGGACAAGGGGGAATGGTCTTAAACTGAGAGAGGGGAGGTTTAGGTTAGATATTAGGAGGAAGTTTTTCACACAGAGGGTGGTGAGGCACTGGAACAGGTTGCCCAAGGTTGTGGATGCCCCATCCCTGGAGGCATTCAGGGCCAGGCTGGATGTGGCTCTGGGCAGCCTGGTCTATTGGTTGGCAGCCTTGCCCATGGCATGGGTGTTGAAACTAGATGATCCTTGAGGTCCTTTTCAACCCAGGCCATTCTATGATTCTAATGTGGATACTCTAAAAGAAACATAAGAGATGCTATTTTTCAAATGTACCTTCTGGCTGTGTTTCTTCACACATCACATCAGCTGCCACCCAAAGATTCAGGTGCTAATGATTGAGAAGAAACTAAACATTAGTGAAATGTCAACTAAACATTAGTGAAATGTCAAGCAATGAATTTACATATAATAAATTACATCATAAAAATTTTGAAAAATGTGCAGCTGCCTCGCAAAATATTTGTAGACCTTATTACCCATTAATCATCTCCTGGTTCTTATTGTGCTTCATTCCCGTGAGAGCTGGTAAATAACAGGGCCAAACCAGGGATATTAATCTAATCTTTCATTAAACAGTCATAGCAAATTATAAAGAATAAGAAGGCTGCGTGTACATCACTTGTCATTACAGGAGCTACTCGCAGTGCTGGAGAGGACGTGTATAGTACTGGAATGATGAAACACAGAAATTTCCTTGCATACTTGAGACTCATTAAGAATTATGCTGAGAACAAAGCCCTTAATTTCAATGTCGGGAATAGGGCTCTTGTCATTAAGACACAGTGCATTGTGAGAAGGCACGCCATTAGCATTCTGGGCAGCCCAGCATTGTCTTAAACTCAGTAATATAACGTGAGTACCCCGTTCAGATGTAAGCTGCAGTTCTGAGCTGTTCAGAGGAAGCTGGATGTTCTCCAACACTTCTCAGTGCTTTCAGTGGCATTAACAGACAAGCTGCTGAAATGAAAGCTAATGCCACAGGTACAGGATTCCCAGATAAAATTCCCTGTGCTTCATGATGGAAGGAGCATGTAGGAGGTGTGTTCCATTTCCTAATCTGGGACTCACTCAGGGCCTTTTAGGGTCTAACTGGGTCACCTTATCCAGCCCAAGGACTGCAGGTACTGGCAAAACAGGGTGGGCGACTTAGCGGCTGATTGCAAATATTCACACCCTTTGTGTGCCTGCATTAATGCTGCAGATGGCAGCAGGGCCAGATGCCAAGGACAGCAATTAAGCCAACCACCCAGAGTGAAGCCAGAGTCACCAAAAATGTGCCTCAGTTGCACAGATTTGTGCAGCTTGAGCAGCTTGGTTGTTTCCTCTTTTGCCTCCTGCACCTTTTCAAACATCCACTTTTGTACCCAGTATTCCCTCTAGAGCTTTTGTTTGACTAGGGAATGAGAAACTCTTGCTACATAATGAAAACACTTACTACCCCTTAGCGTAGAAAATACTGCTATTTAATAATTCAAGCATTTAATGGAATTGGAGGCTTGCATTTTTTCCCCTTCAGGTTTTTTTTCTAGAGAAAATATCATAGTCTCATGGGTGCTTAGACTTGCTCAAGTAAATCAGTTGATTTATAATGCGTTTTAATCTGTTCCTTAATTTATTTGTGTTAGGATGAGAAATCTAGTCAGGAGTCAAGGATTAATGTGGTCAATATTTGCAGCATTTTATGTGCCAACTGCCAAAATAGAAAGGATCTTCTCAATCCACCCTATGAATCAGACTTGTTTGCTGTTATCTCTAAGAAAATGGAATTGCCTTGTTCTGATCTTTCAGGAACTAAGGAAGTGGTGGTTAATGTGGATGACGATGGAGTCATTTCCTTGAACTTTGAATGTGATCAGATGTCTCCAAACTCTAAGTTTGTTTGGTCCAAGGACTATGAACCGATTGAGGATGACTCTCGACTGGACATCGATTCCAAAGGCGGAAAGTAAGAGCACTCAGTGGTAACAATCATCTCATGTTTGAAAAACCTCAGCAGACCACAGAAATCCATCCTTCCTGGATGGATGACCTCAGTAAGAATTCTATCTGCTGTTGTTACCAAAAGGCTTCGGCATGAGTATGGTGTTTGTCAGTAAGTCTATGCGCAGGCCATAAGGAAATTGTAGCTTGCACAGAATGAGTCAGGCCTTCTGGTTAGGCAATTTGCTCATAGTTACATTTAGGCACAGAGTGAGAAAATCTGTGCTCTGTCCTCTTACAACCTGCCAGCCAGGACAGATTATTCCAATTGCTGTTATGTTAAATCTCCAAAGGCTTAAATTATTTGTCTGCTTGCTAAATGCTTTGACTATGTAATATCATTACAATCATCTGAGCAGGACGCTGTTTCGATGACGTCAAATAGCCTGATTTGGGAACGTTTGTAATTCTCTACAAGCCCAATATGTTTCTTCAGGCATTTTTCAGAGAGGATGAAACGGCAAATGTACCGGTGCAGCCTATGAAGTATCTGTGTGCTCTTCCGGTTATAGAAACCATGCAGGAAGGAACACCACTTTTGGTATTGCATATGAAAGCTGAATCAGCCTGCACTTAGAATATCCTTCCTCGTTCATCAAAGACTTGACAATATGCTTTTAAGTCCAACACTTCTGGCACTGAGAGCTTCTACAGTTTCCTGGAGAAGTTACAAATCTTGCACCCATTTCTCTGCTGTTGTCCCAGAACAGGCAACTGGTCGGCTTTCAGTCTCATGGGTGCTTCATGGGCTGGGCTATTTCCATTTGTACCACACATGAATAACCTACCCTGGTTTATTCTGGTCAGGAAACCTCTATTTGCCTTGCAGTCAGAGCAGAAGCTAATACAAGGGTGCTTTAATCCAGCTTTGCAACAGTGAAAAAGGATCTTGGTTTAGACTAGTTTTACTTTTTTTATCTTTTTTTGTTGTTGTTTGTTTCCCTAAGGTCAAAAGCAGTCTTTAAGAATCTTGGGGAAGATGATTTGGGAATTTATTCCTGTGTTGTTACAGACACTGATGGAGTTTCATCAGGCTACACAATTGACGAAGAAGGTAGACACACAGTATCTTCTAAGCATGCTTGTTTTGCTTTGCCTTCTGTTTCTTCCTTGCTTTTGTCTTTCTTATATCCATAATATCCATGTATTACTTCATATCTTTTGCAGAAATGAAACGCCTGCTTGCTCTGAGCCATGAACACAAGTTCCCAAGTAAGTGAATCAAACGGGTCTGTAAGGGAGAGTTTTGTGTTCACTGGGATATGTATCACAAAGCTCTTGCCAGCATCAGATAGGGAAGTTGCTAGACTGCTTTCGAATGAGTGTTTTTGAATTGAAAACCTACGATTTCTTTATTTTTCTCTCTTTCCCTCACAGCATTTGTGTGTTGCTGATATTCTTCCCGCTCTTTTGTGGGTTACTGATCTAAGTATATACTAAGTATATGCTCTATATAGGATTGAAAATAAGTATCTTAATGGTTTTATTCCTTCTTCATAGCAGCTTAGCAGCTTTTTGTCTTTACTCGGAATGCCTAGCCTGATCTGAACACTTGAATTTGAAAAATTATCTGCCCCTCTAATTTCATCTCAACTGAAATTAAAACAATTTAAAATTACGGTTAACAGAGCAAGCAATGTAGTTATCTATATATACAGAATTTTTCTGCTGAAATTTGTCACACTCTTTTCTGTTCCACTTGGAGATGTAAACACCTTTCCTGCTGCTTGGGATGATACTTTTGCCAAGTTCACAGATTTCTTATCCTTCATGATATCCTGACAGTGGCACAACCTTGTTATTTTCAGTGGAATGTTACTTGAATAACTGAAGAAAACAATAATAAGAAAAAACAATGGCACCTCTGCCAGCCAGTCTGCATCGTTCCTCTCAGCCCAACCACAACTTGGCTACCCAGATTGCCTATCTTTCTGTATATGTCATTTCCCTCCAGGTCCTTTCCATATCAGCTCTGCTCTTTTCAATATTTTGACAGCCTAAGCACCCCCTGTTTACTTCTCCCAACTCTATCTTCACTCTGAGTCTGAGTCATCACAGCTCCTTATTGCTGTCACCTGTCCTTACTCGCCCCAACCCTTCTCTGCTCAGCTCTTCGCCACATTGTGTATTAATAACTAATGTCACAAAAATAAGTTCCTCGGGACACAGAATGTGGGTTTGGATTCTTTTATATGTTGTTAGGTGTTAGTACACTCCCAGCTGTGCATGGAGCCTCCAGGAAAAGCAGGTGAAATCATAGGAGGGGAAACTGCTCTTTTTGCTTTGGGCATGCTAGGCCCTGTGAACACTACAAAATTATCAATTACAATTATAGGTTGAAATATATCTTCCTTTATCTATGAGACTGGGAAAATAATAATGAGCTCCTATGGATCAACATGAAACTTTGGTCATCTCTCTGAGTAATCACAGAATTGCAGGGGTTGGAAGGGACCTCAAGAGATCATTGAGTTCAATCCCCTGCTAAAGCAGGTTCTCTCCAATAGGTCACACAGGTAGGCATCCAGATGAGTCTTGAATATCTCCATAGAAGGAGACTCCACAGCCTCTCTGGCAACCTGTTCCAGTGTTCCGTCACCCTTACCATAAGGAAGCTCTTCTGCATGCTATTATGGAACTTCCTATGTTCAAGTTTTAGGCCACTGCTCCTTTTCCTATCAGTACACACTGCTGAAAAGAACTTGGCCTCATCCATTTTCCTCCCAAATTCTTTTAGATATTTATAAACACTAATCTGATGAATACCCAAATTCCTGATAGAAAAATGAGTCGCTGCCATTTCTGATTCAACATAAGCTCTTGCACGTTGTTTGGTTTGTACTTCTCAACTGCACTTAACTCTAACTTCTACCAGAAACATCTGCAGCAAGTAACTGTGGGAAAATGAGTTGCTCAGATAATGCAGTCCTGCAGAACTCAAAGGCTCTTGAACACAGTAGTGTATTGGTATTGGGTGCAAATATTCCAGCTCTTTAGTTTAGCACTAGCATCTGCCTGAAGATTTTCTGTCAACTACATGTGGTAATTTGTGATGTTATACAAATAGAATGTGAAACTATGAAAGCATGATGGCTTTTCAAAATCCCTGAAGACAGTTTGTGTTTTGTAAAATGGAAATATTTTGAAATAGGGTTATTGCTGGTGGAGGACTGTTACACAGACCTGTCTGATTCCTTTGGATGGGGGAGTGAGTAGCCTTTTCCCACAAATGATCCTTTTATGTCCTTTCAGCCTCTTCTTGAACAGTTTCTGAGGTATTTTCTTCCTCTTTAGACTAAGATATTCATTGTTAATTGCATACTGGGACTTTGACGTTCCCACAGAGCTGACAGTGAAACAAAAGCAGAGCAGCCTGAAGTCTGTTCTCACCCTCCTCCTGTTACTTCTGCAGGCTCTGTAGCATTTCTGTCGGTTTGTTCTGAGAAATTATGCAAGATATGACATTCCTTTTGTTTCTCACAAGCAATACAGTAGGGGAGGAAGCTTCACAATCAGTTCCTTTTAATACTCCTGTCTCTCTACGGCTCATTTTTAAACATTTTTCTCTTCTGTGTTTTTTCATCACTCTCTTTTTTTCTTTTTTTTTTCTCCTGTGTCCAGAAAGCTTTATGTTCACCGAAGACGTGTTCTGTGCCACCAAAAGCATGAGTGTGGGAGGGTGTAGTTTCATGGAAAGGGCGCTCATGTGAAAGGAAGATGCAGGGTGTCCTCACACATGGCCACCACCTGGTTTGGCAGTGGTGTTCAGCCCCAGAAAGTATCCCATTGTTTAGAAATGTAGAATCATTAAGGTTGGAAAGACCTCTAAGATCACCTAGTTCAACCATCATCCCCCTCCACCATTCCCACTGACCACATCCCTCAGTACCACATCCACACATCCTGAACACCTCCAGAGATGGTGACTCCACCACCTCCCTGGACAGTCTCAGTGCCACTGTCTCGCTGCTTTTTCTGAAAAGAAGTTTTTCTTAGTGTCCAACCTGAATTTAGCATGGTGAAAAATGAGAGATAAATGATGCCAGGTACTACGCCAGTCCCAGTCCTCTCCCTGTAGCGAGGCTTCTACATAAGTGAAGTTTAGAAAAAATCCTGCCCTGGGGTTTGTATGGGAGGAGGTACAGGGTGACACCCATCACCACACACTTAATCAGGTGTTTTGCAATTTGTTTGTGCACTCTTTTCAGTTACACCCTTGCAAGGCAGACTTTACACTGCTGTGAAAGTGCAGTTTGGGGCAGAGGTCGCATACAGCATGCATCCTCTATGTATATGAGTTTGTTGGAAATTTGAGAGTCCACTAAGACAGGTAAAAATGATGGAAAATAATAAAATGAGCAAATCTCACCGGATATCAGAGTATAAATGCCCCTGTCTAATGCTGCTGATTAAAATAACTTGACAAAAAGTTAAAGTATGCTGAGTACTTTTACAAACAGGAACAAGGAAAAAATAAGACTGTAGTTTGTAGTAGAGTATTCTTTACAAGAATTTTTTTTCCTGCTTACACAGCTTATTGAACGTGGGGATTTCCATTATTCATAAAAAAACAAATGTTTATTATTAAAGGGGAAATTTGGGGCATTTTGTGATATGCAGCGAATTCTGGAGATAAAGGTCCCACTCAGCAAGAATTACTTACAAAAATCTCCCAACCTGCAGTTCAGCAGCTGACTTTTTGATCTGCTTTTGTGCTTGTTTTTTTTTTTTTTTTGTCTTTTCCTTAATGAATCGCTTTACTGCCTTGCAACAACATTAAGTGACTCATTAAAGATGTGTTTGCACCAGGCAGGTTCACATTGTGCTGCAGAGATGCTTGCAGTTTACCTTTAGCCCCGTGTTGGAATGGGGGGACCCCAGCACAATTCAAATTGTGAACGTTTCAACTCTGTACAGACCTAGAGATAGAAAGATCAAATAATTCAATCTCGCCTGTTGCTCTGTGTACATGTGGGTGGAGAGGCATTCATTGGTACAAAGAGTTATTGTAAGCTAGTCACCTTGCGTACATTAGCTGAATGGAAGAAGTGAAGAAAATAGTTGTTCCTATGCAGGAAAGTATATGCTTCATTCTTCTCTCTCTTCTTTGTAGCTATTCCACTTGCCTCTGAGCTAGCAGTAGAAATTCTAGAAAAAGGAGAAGTGAGATTCTGGTTGCAAGCTGAAAAATTGTCTGGCAATGCAAAGGCCAACTTTGTATTTAATGATAAGGAAATTTTTAATGGAGAGGTAAGACTTTACGTTGCCTTTTTTGCATGTTTATAACAAATGAGAATTAATATCTTCAATAGCTTCCAATTAGAATTCAACACTAGTGCATGTTCATCAGAAATAATGTATGTCATTGAAAACACCACTTCCTAGAAAGACTTTGTCTGAAGTTCTGAGCTCCAGCTAAATTTGACTGAATGAGTATATAAGCATCCTTCCTGCCTTCTTTGTGAGTACCACATGGTCTGTTAACTAACGGATACTGTAGAAGGTCTTGAAATGTAGGGAAGAAAGTAGTTACAGGTAAGCAACTACTGTGGATTTTAAGTAATCACTGCAGTAGCCCAGATCATCCAGTTCTTTTATCTGTGGCCACTTGTTCTATCTTCTCATGTTCTTTTCCTGTTTGGAGGAATGTGTTACACCAAGGGAAAACTCAAGTGGTTGTTTCCAGTAGCAGAGCTTGTTACACCCAAGGACAACTGGTGGCATGTTTTTGTTGCAATACTGATAGATAGAGCACTCTACAAGGATAGGGAACTGGAGCACCTCCCCTACAAAGACAGGCTGAGGGAGCTGGACTTGTTCAGCCTGGAGAAAAGAAAAGTGGCGTGACCTCATTGCAGCATTTCAGTACCTAAAGGGAGCCTACAAACAGAATGGGTAGATAATAATAGGACAAGGGGAAATGATTTTAAATTGAGGGAGGGAAGATTTAGGTTGGATGTCAGGGAGAAGTTCTTTACAGAGAGAGTGGTGAAGTGCTGGAACAGGCTGCCCAGAGAGGTTGCGGATGCCCCATCCATAGAGGTGTTCAAGGCCAGTATGGATGGGGCCCTGGGCAGCCTGGTCTAGCATTAAATGTGGAGGTTGGTGGCCATGCATGTGGCAGGGGGGTTGGAGATTCATGATCCTTGAGGTCCCTTCCAACCCTGGCCATTCTGTGATTCTGTGATTCTTTGATTCTGTGATAGAGAGTCAGAGCATTCTATGCAAAATTTTTTTGAAAATGTTGACTCCTAATCAATAGTGTTCTAAAGAGATACAAATCCATGCTTTTCTAGTGAAAAAGATCATCATAGAGCAGGACTGCCACATGCTTCCATCATTAACAGATTTCTTATTTATTTGGTTCTATGTTTAGAGCCAGGGAAAGAGATAGTGGGAATGAGAACAAAGAAAACAGAATTTTTGCCAAATATACTGTGATTCTGATATTCATTAATTAGTTTACTTTCCATTCCCGAAGAAATATAAGATGAAGGTGGACCAGCGTACTGGCCTTGTTGAAATGATTATGGATAAACTTGAGGACAAGGATGAAGGGACTTACACTTTCCAGCTGCAGGATGGAAAAGCAACCAATCAGTCCAGCCTGGTCCTCATTGGTGATGGTATGTGAATCTATGCTATGCTGTAGGATAGGAAAGTTAAACCAGGATTGGTAGTCATAACTTTTCCACTGTTTTCCTGATTTAGTACTGTTAAAAGTTCACGTCACAGCACTTGTCTGCCTCAAATAGAAAAGAGAGCGTATGTGAACTACTTTAAAAGTGCCCAGAGGAAAGGGAATTGTTACAGAAGTGTAAAATATTGAAGGTGTCAGGGCTTGCTTTTCTACAGATGCAATGATATCAAGCCCAACCCCCCTGCTAAAGCAAGTTCCTTATATTAGATTGTGTAGAAAATGTGCAGTATTACACTGCTGAGAGAAAGAATGACCCAGTGACAGGATTCTCTTTTGACCTCCAAGGGAAAGAGTTGCACTGGTAACAATACTGCACTAATAAATCATATAGTACATATAACCTCATATGTGTTAATGGTTTTCATTTCCAGTATTCAAGAAGCTGAGAGATGAAGCAGAATTCCAGAGAAAAGAGTGGCACAGGAAACAAGGTATGATACTTGAATACTTGTGATAATCATGTAAGTTTAAGAGTTTATTTATGTTAATATACTCTAAATTGAAATAGACATTTTTATAGAATCATAGAATCATTTGAATTGGAAGGGACCCTTAAAAGAGATCTACTCTATTCTGTTGTGTAGTTGCTTACCTTCTGAAGGAGAAATGGGAAAAACAAAAACACTTTAAAATATCACAGTGTTCTTATGAAGAAAAACAGAATTGTCTTTGTTTTTGTATCATGAATAGCACGCATGGTTTTTAAAAAAGTGTGTCTGTGACTTCGAACAGGTCCTCATTTTGTGGATCAGCTGGGATGGGAAGTTACTGATGACTGTAACGTGATGCTGAAATGTAAGGTAAGAGGTAAAGAAAGCACTAAGTGCAGCATTCCAAGAAACACTTTGATCAACATCTGTTTAGATGGCTAAGAGGACTAAATAGATGGCCTTTGGTTTTGGATTCCCAACTGCATATTGCATATAGACACAGCCATTGAAAGCACCATGGGCTAATCATGCTGGGGTAACTGCAAATGATCTGAGACTTGGGCAAAACTTACCTCCTTGTTCAGCTCAAAGCAGCTCAAAAACTGACAAAGACATTGGTGAAATCCAAACAGTTTGTACTCCAGCAGTATAATCAGTAAACTTTGGTTTCTTTGCAGAAACATGATATCTGAACAAACAGCAGTGCGCTAATTTTTGTGCATGGAATAGGAGCAAAAGGCTTATGCAAAAGAACCTTCAGCAAGGGAAATATTCTTGTTTCATACCCTTTGAGTATCACCACTGTGTTACTGGGGACTAGTTAGATGCACCTGCACAGCTTCCTAAGTCATTTAAGAGAGAGACCGGAACAGGAGCAGGGTGGGATGATGGCAACATTTGTTCTGGGGGAATACAGAGTGCCTGCCTCAGGGCCATAAAGCTGTCATTCCCTGACAGCTCTCACATCAGTTCAAGGCAGTGAGTTAGGTCTGTCATCCAGTCCTCTGCGTGTTCCCCCAGTTAGTACAAGCATTGAACACTGTGCTCTTGCTGCGTATTTCAGACAAAACACCTTGGAATATAACTTAGACATTTTTCTTCAAGTCTGTCATTCATCCATCCAACCATCCACCTGCTAAGCAAAAAGGACCTTAATAGGTGTGATGAGTCTTTGTGAATTCAAAGACTTTCTGATTATTGCCTTTTTATGTGTGTCAAAATCCCCTGGGATGGATTCACAGGATCACTGGACTCCTTGAAGCTGTTGATAACCCTTTTTTCTCTCTTTTATTCCCTTCTGTTTCCTCCTTGCAGCCTTCATTTTAACTGTGAGGCCTCCAGCAGCATCCTTGTAACTCACTACAATCAGGTTGGAAAGCTTTAGCTGTTCTTTCATGCTGACCCAGGGTTCAAACAGGTTAATCCATGCAATGTGAGGTCCATCTGACCAAATGGAGAAAATAACTATGATACGGTTTTTGTCCATTTTAGGTGGCTAATATTAAGAAGGAAACACATATTGTATGGTACAAAGATGACAGGGAGATAATGGTAGATGAAGAACACGACTTTAAAGATGGTGTGTGCACCCTGCTGATATCGGAGGTGAGTGACTGTCTGTGCTAGTCCTCATCTGAATTCAGTGTTGTGAATTCAGGTGAAAGATATAATCTGGTATTCCAACAGAACAATCAAAAAAGGAAGTGGGTTTTAAAAATGGAAAAACTCACAAGGCGTCTGCATTGTGTCTAAAACAAATTTCTATCTTTAACTGTTCATTCATGCTTTCAGGAAATGATGACAAAAGAGATAGTAAGTATGACACTTCCTTTGCGTATCAGTTCACAACAGAATGAGACTGTTTATGTTGTGACTTGCACTTGGGAAGTGCTGCCCTCTCTGACCCTCATGGGAGCACCCTCTTGAAGTTGCCCAAGGGTCTTGCTTGAGATTTACAGTATCAAGGTGTGGAGTCTGACTTGCATTAACTACTCAGTCTCTTTGGTTCTGGTTCTTCTAGCTGAGAAACAGAATTAGCATCAGAGACCCGTGCAGATTGAGTCCCTCCCTGAGCCCATCAAGGCATGGCCCAGCTGCCAGGCCCCGTCCCAGAGCCCCAGACAGTAGCAGGGCACTGGGGACACCAGACATCGGGCACATCCTTGGGGAGGGGATGGGGACAGGGTGAGCATGAGCTAGGATGTAGATCTAGATTTTTGTACAGAAACCATTTTGAATACTGTTTTTACAGTTTTCTAAGAAAGACACTGGAATTTATGAAGTCATACTGAAGGATGACAGAGGGAAGGACGTCAGTGAGCTGAAACTTACAGACACAGGTCAGAGCCCTTTCTGCATGCTGTAAGCCAAGCAGCTTGTATGTGAGGTCAAGGCAATACAGGCAGCTGCATGCACCACCTTCCTGTAGTTTCCTTCCTCCTGCATAAAGGATCATCTCACATGCAGATTTTTCAGTATGAATAGTATTTGAATATGCCTTATTGCATGTATAATTTTGGGAGAATGTGGTGACTGGTGCTAAGCTAGATGATAACTTGTTTCCTCAGGGCTCATCAGTAGTGAAAGTCAACAATCATAGGAAGAAATTATAGAACTAGGTATTTTTTATAACATTTCACTTTTTTATGTTTTTACATTCATATATTTTGAGACCTTTCCATTGTGACCTTTCATTGTGACCACTTAATTTTCCAAGCAACTGGGGAAAAATCAAATCTGTTATAATCCATATAGATGGGTTGTCATTCCAACTGAATATGGGTATTCACATGGAAAAAAAAAGAGAATATAGTTTAGTTCTGCTGCAGCAATATTCATCAAGGTAAAATAAAGTCTGAAAACTGTGGAATAACAGGCAAACACAGCTTTCTAATACTTTTTAAAGTGTAGATCTGATTTACTTTTGGAATTGCCTGGGGAAATTATTTCAGAGGCAGTGCTTGTTCTATGATTGACTATGATTGAGCTGCAGACACAGAGTCTTAGTTTATGGATTTTGTCTCCACAGCTTTTGCAGATCTGATGAATGAAGTATGCAGAAGGATTGGTAAGCATTTAAGTCACTTCTCTGATAAATGACTTGTGACGCTCAGTGAATGGCTGCAAATAAAGATGTGTTCTTCTTGCAGCTTTATCTGCAACAGATCTGAAAATCCAGAGCACAGCTGAGGGCATCAGGCTGTACTCTTTTGTCACCTATTATGTGGAAGATCTGAGAGTAGGCTGGGTGCACAAGTAAGTATGCCAAACCTTTGCAAAAGTTTGTGAGATTTGGTGTTTGTAGACTCAGAAAGAACCTAGATATATGAGACAGACTAGGCCCAGTTCTTTCCGTCATCCCTCATGAGTCATGGCTGCATTGCTTCAGAGAACTTCCTCCTCCTGGGAGGGAGCTGCTTCTTCCTCTGGAGCGGTTCTGAGGAGTGACATGTGTATAATCTATGGCACTGGCAAGTTCTGTTAGAGATCACTGCCTCTGGTTCAAAGATACCAGGCCTGGAGGCCTGCTTGTCTAAAAGCCATAATTCACAGGGACCAGGGCAAAAGGGCACATCCTCTTCATGCATGGGTTCATGTTTTGGAGGCAAAGCAAGCTTTAGCATGCGCCCAGGGCAGTAAAATCCAGACAGGGCCTCCTGTGACTTCTACAAGCCTAAATGGGACAGACAGGAGAACTAAGACTCTAAAAATAAACTTGAACGTCCAGCTCCCCATAAAATTAATGGAAGTTGTGTACCCAAATCCATGAGACAGCTTTGAATTCTCAGTCAGTGTAAAGAGTGGTACTGAAAACTCAGAGAAATAAACAACTCAGTTTACTTTATTATTAATATTCTTTCTGCTTCATTTCGTGTGGACATGGTAACATTTCCCTTTCTTGGCACCCACTTGACATGGTAGCTCCAGGAGTCTCAAATGTTTGAAAACTGGAAGCAAATATGAATTGCTCTGAATTTTTTTCTCACTTCATTTTCTCTTTTTTTTTTTTTCTATCTTTCTTTCTTGTCGCTGTCTTTTCTCTATTTAATTTTTCGAAATTAATTTAATCTTGAAACACATGAAATTGATCTTTGACTCTCTAGCATATTCAAAGCCATCAATGAAAAAGAAAACGAACAGCTTGCTTGAGAAATATCATATCCTTCATCCAAGGCAATTAACTGTCGAGTTAAGAAGCTGAAAAATTGATCTTTTTTGTGGAAGAAGATGTACTCATGTAAAAATGCATTTGATTGTAAAAGCCAATGCAGAGCAGAACGTGAGGAAATGTTGAAACTAGGCAAACACCATTTGTAACAAAAGTGGGATTTTTTGTAGGTACAGCCTTATATAGTTCTGCTGTGCCCAAGCAGAAATAAACTTATTCTAAGAAGAGAACATGAACATTTGAATATACATGGATTACCAGTCAGATTTTAAAATTCGTATAACATATCTGTAGCTCGGATAATACACTCAGCTGCATCTTCCTTCTGCAGACTTTGAGGAGAAATGGAAACTGAACAGAAAGAGTCTGTCATAACAATTCTGCCCCTTTGGTCTACAGTTGACATTTGGCTTGAAAAGCTTCAAAATATGATGGCATGCCATTCTACCTTGGAAGTCATTTAGTAACTGCAGACATTTCTCACAGAAAATCCTGTTTATATTCCGCTAAAATGAAGGGGTAACACTATTTTGTATTTTTCAGCGATACCCAGATTAGGTTTTCAGACAGAGTGAAGACTGGTGTCACTGGGGAACAGATCTGGCTGCAGATCAATGAGCCAACTCCACAAGACAAAGGCAAATACACAATGGAACTCTTTGATGGTAAAACCGGACACAAAAAGACAGTGGATCTTTCTGGGCAAGGTAGGCTGCTCACACTGTTAATACTACCTGAACACAGATATAACACTGTGGTGGAGTGGGCATTGCTACAGACCTGGTACCTTTGGGTTGTAGGGTCTCTGCAGCTTGGCATTGTGCAGTAATGTCATTCATTTGCCCCATACTGTACTCTCAAGTTATAAATTATAATTGATTTTTTCCTGTCCAAAGCTTGACTCAGAGTTGCCTATGGAGATGTCAGCCCAGTTTTTGAGTTTTCCCACAAAACCCCATGCACTGATTGGCAATGTTAAACACAAGTTGTAGTGTTGAATGACTTCTCTGTCTCTTTCTTTCAAACAATATTTGGAAGAGAAAGTGAAGGACAAGTTTGTTCTGTTACTCTTACTGTATTTTTTTGATGGATATAACAGGACTCCTTATTCTTCAGAGATGTCAAGACTAGTCCCTTCCATCAGCACAATGAAGGAATGTTTCAGGAACATATAAGATTAATTTAATTGACTGATGGAAGTTCTTACTCTAAGAGAGCTCTCACATCCAAGGAGAAGATTAACTGCTTTGGAGTAGCTGGCTTTCTGTCTCGAGCATTTCCCATCCCTAAAGCTTTGCTTTGGGCCTGTAAGCTCTCTGGAAGGCCAATAAACTTACAGTCATCTCCAGGTTGCTCCTTCTGTATGCTATCCTCAATTTCTGAGAAAAAGAAATTTTTTCTTCCCTTTCAAAGTGGGAGATGTTGACCAACCATGTGACATTAGCTAATCCTGAATTTATGAAGGAGACAAGAGTTCGCTGTTTGATTTGTTCATCGCCATCAGTGCAATACTTTAGAGCAGATGTGAAGAGCACTTGGAAAAAATAAATCTCTTGTATCCATAAGCCAGTAGTCTGTGAAGTGAGGTGTACAAGACAATTTACTAAGTTGTGGGAAGGAAGCATGAGAACTTCAGTAACACTGAATATAATTCATATCATATTATTATATTATAACACAGTATATAATTTGTAAATAAATGCATATTTATGTATTGGGATGTATGTGCTCAAAACTGTTTTTACTAATAGGGGTATGTGATCAAAAAAGCTTGAATAGCATTAGTGTGGTATGTTTTGGATTACTTCCTCTGTTTTATGAGGTAATTTCAACCTAATGTTCTTTCCCTATGTCTTTGTGTTAAATTTTTAATTTTGGTAGAGAAAAATAAGTGTTTATGCATGCATATGTGCATAAATAGTTGCTGTATACATGACTGCCTTTATCAGTTGAATCATTTAGCACTGTATAGATTATATAGTATCACAGTATGCTTCCATACATTAATATTTCTTTAATGATGTCAGTATTTATAATTTAGTTCCACATTTTAAAATGACAGTTGTGATAGCCTATGTTTGAACCTACCTTTAAAATCAACTTTTCTCTTTATCAAGCATTTGATGAAGCCTTTGCTGAGTTCCAGAGATTAAAGTAAGTATTACGCAATCCAGCAGTGGAACCCATAAAATAATAATGGTATTTGTTTGTTTTGTGCTAGAGCTAAAAATACTGTATGAAACAAATCCTAGTCCTACAGAAATCTGTAGGAGTTTTGCATGTGACTGCATTGCAACAGTTAGGTAATGAAGAAAAAGCAGCATTGCCAAGCGATGAGAGGCGTTTTCTTTAACTGATCAAAGATAACTTAAGAGATAAGCTATCTATTTTTCAATCACTCTATGTAAACATTAAATGAAATTGAATTTTCTCTTTGTTTCTTTTCAATCCAGGCAAGCTGCAATTGCAGAGAAAAGTAAGTGAGGCTTCTTTGACCGTAATTGCAATAAATGGTTATTGAAGGTTCTCTCCCTACACAGGAAGGTTGCCTGTTGGGAGAAAGAAGACACGTATGAATGTGTACATGCATGTGCATGTCCTAACTCTCACTGGCTTAGCACCAGGGGGAAGCAAGAAGAGATTTAACATTTGCACATTGCAGCTAATGGCACTGTAAATGTGGGTTGTGTAGATATTTTCAGCCTAAGATCTTGTTCTCATTACCAATTGGTTTTATCCAAAAATCACCTCTGTTGTTGAGATATCTCATGCATATTTTATGCCCGAAAGTCACTCTGTTTTCTGAGATAGAGGAAATCACTCAGCTGGTTTTGAACTATCTGAAATGTTAATGGCTCTGCATTATGGAGGGGGGTAAGAAAGCAGCATAGTCTAAAGACAGGTCCCTGAATCTTCTGGCACTTTTGGATACATTTCAATTCCAACACAACAATTAAAATAAAAATATGTAATAATTGTCTAAGGAATAAGTCATTAGAATTCAACTTGGATTATTAAGATCAGTATTTTTCCTGTTTCCAGAAAAATCTATAGGAAAATGTAACAACACAAAAAGTTATCCCAGTGCAGGTATATAAAAACAAAAGCAGAACTGGATTTTAAGAAAAACAGAGAAAAATGGGTAGAGGAATTGGAGCTAATTCCTCACTGGACATAGACTCCAAAGAGAACGGGGTTTGGCTGTGCTATGTACAGCAATTCCTGGTAGGCCCAGCTGAGATGGCAGGATAGGACCAGTAATGGCCCTGCCCTGGGCAGTTCTTTTCTAACTGCATGATTCATACCATCAGGTTGTCATTTACTCCAGAGTGCATATTTTACATTAGATGAGTACAATAGATGAGAATATTCTCTATTGTCCTTTCCTTGATCTGCCAGGCTCCACCAAGATTATAACTAACATAATCCATGTCCCAGAATAAGTGCATCAAAGCCTGCGTGTGATCAGCTTATTTGTATTTATGTAAGATTCCTATGGGACTTCGAGCTTAAAGTTGTAGGCCAGATACCGATCCTGTTTACATGGAGACCCATGCAAAGCAGAGAAATTTCACTGCTTTCACCGAGACTGCAGCCTTTTTTTAGATCAAAACATAAGCTCCAGCACTTTCTTAGCTGCCATTTATTGCTTCTCAAAAGCATCACTTCTCATCTATCCTGCTGTTTACAGCACTGGATCTAAAAAAATCAATATTATTATTTTCTGTATGCGATCACAAGTAACACTGAATTGATGGTGAAATGTGCAGGATGCACCACATGGACTTTAGTTCTGTCCGGTAGGTGACTGACACCAGCTGTTAACGCTTCTGTTGCTGTGAATGGAATGTTTCTAAAGTCCAAATGGTGTGCTGAGAATGCTGAGTAGTTCTTTCCCAGCACAGATATCAGAGACAAGTTGTACATAAATAAGATAAGAGAAAAGAACTGGAGGGGGAACAGAATCTGGGACGTGGTTGATTTTGAGACACCAAAGTAAATTATGCTCGTTTCTTTTCAGATCGCGCCCGGGTGCTTGGAGGTTTGCCCGATGTTGTCACCATCCAGGAAGGCAAGGTACAGTGAATTCATTGAAGCTTTTTCCAAGAGCCAAACAGCTCAAATGTCTTTCAATGACAGCAAAATATTCTTTTTTTTTTTTTTTTTTAATTTTATTTTTAAAGATTCCATCTATGACATCTGTCACATTATTCATTCCCTGTCTTCTGTACATAACTCAGTGGTCTTGCACAGATGGGTTTATTTATTTAGGGCAGCGTCTTTTCTTAAGAATTAGATAAAAGTGAGACAACAGTGTGAGCTGTGATTCAAACTCCTTATGTAACCAGCTCTTTAAAAATTCATACACAGGCCTCACAGTTAGATTTTTACTAACAGGGTGCCACTGATATAGGCTACACCAGGGAATGTTTTAATTCACTTTTTCTTATAGGATGGCTACTCGTTCTGTACCTGCTGGAGTTAACTTTTTCACAACATGGCACTACAGTCAGTAGTCTGCCTTTTAAACAGTGTAAAACCAGTAAACTGTTGCAACTCAGTTCTCTTCCAGACCAAAGGAGAAAGTTTTCTGTATTTCATCAGCATAAATGGGAATGAAGTCAGAAGGCACTGGCACTGGGTGGATTATATCAGCAGAGTTTAGCAAAAAGATTATTGCAAGGCACTCTCAGGAACATGGCTGTGCCACTGGTCAGGCACAGACCAGATGCCCCAGAAGGTCAGTTTGTAATCCCATAAACTTTCCCCAGCACTCTGCTTCTACAAGTTGTAGTACAGTAGGACTGAAACTAAAAGCAACTGTTCTTCACCTCCCTCTGCTCGGCCACCAGCCACTTCCTTTCTTAAGTGTGGGCGAGCACCAAAAGTAGGCATATGAGCACAGCTGAAAACCTGTAACATGACAACTACAGCAAAACAGCTGCCTGGTATTTCCACATTCACCTAGTAGTGGTTCAGCTGGGTTAGAGGTCTTTGATAACGAGCTGGGCAGAAATGTTAAGACTCTAAAAGCTTGGACTGAGTCTCTTAACATTGTAATCCGTAGCTATCAGATAGTGGGCAACAGCAATTCAGGGAACACTGAGCATCTTGGCATTGTAAAGTGAAACACCATTTGATAAACCTTTTCACTGAATGATTTAGCAGCTCTGGGAATGCTGTAAAAACAAGCAGCATTCATAGAAGTATTTTAATGGTAGGTAGAATACAGAAAGAAATGGAATGCATTTGCAGACTCTCAACTAATGCTGCTTGTGCTTGAAGATGAACTTTTCATACTGCTTTAGCTTGTTACCAGTGTTAAGCTCTCTGCGAAAGAGAGTCAAAGCTGACTATAAGCTTGCTGAAGCAAACTGTGTACATTCGACAGAAAGGGAGTTTGTAAAAAATGAGTTGCTAAATTTTACCCAGACACACATTGCCCTTGAAAGCAAGGACATTTGTGATGTTTGAATAAGTGAATGGAAAATTCCCAGAACTTGAGACAAATATCCCTGACCTCATGATTCTGAACGCAGTAGATGATTGTTTTGAGAAACAGAGTAGGTCAGAGAGTGTTTGGGGAATGCACTGCTTGTTTGGGTGATGTTGGCTCATCTGCCTATTGCTTGCACACACCGGAGAAACAGGAAGGCAGTTCTCTGCATCTATTGTGTAATCCATGCAAACTGCACAATCACCACAGTTTTGAAAAAGAGTAAATGCGGTAGCAGAAGACTGGCAATAACAAGCTCTGACTCTGAATAGAAGTTCAGCCATAACTAGAGTTCAATGAACAGAATGGTACTGCTATATTGAACTTGAAGCATATGCGTATCTCATAGACTTAATGTTGTGATTGTGATGCTATTTTCTGGCTTTCTACAAGTGAGCTGAAGGTATTGCACCTACCAGAGCTGATCAAACAGTGCTCCAGATGGCCTAAGAGGCTTCTGATGACATACATAAATGCACTTTAGCTTGGGGATGTAATTGGAAAAGGCTAAGTGTCAGCTCATGTTAGGGAGAATTTATCTGACAGAAAATACTAGCATAAGTTTTGTGTACAGACAGTCAAATTAACCTAAGTGGCTGTTTCATCAAAACTAAGAGGGGGTTATTTTTACAATAAGACTTTGGATCCTGACAGATGTGCACTTTCAAACATAGAAGTAACGCATTACATCCCTCTACCTCCAGCTCCTCATTCTCCCCTTCTGCTGGGGGTTGGTGCCTCCACAGGTAGGCTGGAAGAAGAGAATGAGTTCCCATGACTTTGTTGCTTTAACTCACGCACTGCCCAAACTACCTATGAAGGTATGTGCTAACACGCAGGGAGAATAGCAGTGCCTGGAATACAACATATTTCCCTCTGCTGCTGTATTCCCTACTCATGATAATCTGCAGTGTAAGGCAGGAAAGGCAAGCAGAAACACAAAAGGCCTGGACCTGCAGCACCTAATTGCTCCAGTTGTATAGCCATCTGTGCCCCAGCTACAGATTTAGGTTGTGAACTTCTCTGTGGAACTCCGAAATATTGAGAGGTAAGGTTTGCTCATACAGGGTTTTTCAGATAGATCAGATTTCCTGATAGATGCCATAATGCCTAGACACGTTTCAAGTCCTAATAAAGATATGAACACATAAGCAAAGACAGTCTCCAGTTCAAAGAACAGAAAATCTGAAGCTGATAGGTACAGTCACAGTGGGTAACCACTTCCATTTGGCTAAGGTGCCATAATTGTGGAACTGTCTTCCAAAAAACATTGGCATGACCAAAGATCTCGCCATCTACACAGTGAGTTATAAGATATATCTCTGCACAGTTGTTGCTGGAAAATCAGCAATAAGAGTTGGGGACATCAGGAGGAGCACCAATGCCAAACAGGAGCTAATGATGTGAGGTTAGGCAAAATGTGACTATTCTGGAGAATGACTTAGCAGTGATGACTCTTTATTTTGCTACTGAACCTCTTTGAATTTAGGAGCACTGACACCACTTCAAACACCTGAGGTTTGTATAATGTCACTAACACAGCAGTCTGGATGAGGACATAAGCTCATTAGTGTCTTGCAGTGGCAGCTGGGGCAACTCAGAAATGATCTCATGCTTGCTAGAAAACTAGAACACAATAAAGAAATACTGAGTACTGTAAGGGACATGTGTGCAATTCCTGGCTGAGACTAAAGCTGAGGGCATGTTTGTATTGAAGTGTTAAGGGAAAGGGAGAAATGTAAAACCATTTGTTTTCCGCATGTTTTTCAAAAAGCTGGACTGATATGGTGATCAAAACCACATTCTCACCAGTGGGCTACAGGAGAAGGCATTCACAGTCCCCGTGTTGTCATCAGATATAGGTGCTGCAGGATGTCAGATAGAGGCCATTTCCACCAGGCTGTAACCACCTCGCACTCAGGACAGCTTCTTTCTGTCAATGCCAAGATATATGTGTTGGTGTTGGAGGAAATATTTTGCCTTCCCTTTTCTTTTCATTTTAATCTTTAGGGGATGTGGGATGTATGTTAGTTTGATTTTTGTTCTCAGAGGGTACATTATTTATTTATTTGTTTGTTTGTTTAAATAGAGTTCTCAATTTTTACCCTGTCTATTCATTTCAGTAGCTTCCTGGATGCCTTTATTCTATCATATCTTCCACTGTCACACTACCATATAAGGAACAGGAAAGGGAAAGTAGCCTGTTACTGAGACAGCAGTAGTGCCTAAATGTGAATCCTTCTCAGTTGCCTCTATTTTGAATGGTTGCTTTTTTTGTTTTGTTTTTTTTTTGTTTGGTTGGTTTTTTTTATCAAGAGGCTTTAAGAAAAATTGAGCAGAAACTTGATTTCAGTCAGGTGGAGCCACAGCCATCGTTCCTTATGTATCACTGAACACCTTTTTCTCTGCAGTAAAAGTCCTTCAAATTCCACTACAGAAAAGGTTAGATTCTGCTTTGACCAACATTTTAAGTTTGGCCCCATGCACTATTTGGTACTTAGCAATAAATTGATTCCTCCCTAAAGAAAGGCCCAGAGAAAGGCATTTGTGCCACTGAGGTTTCATTGGAATGCTTTTCGCATTTGGTTCTCTATGTGACGTTTCCTTCAGCAAACTCTGTGAGAATATTCCCACAGCACTGTGACCAGAGGAGGGGATAACAGCATTCTGTCAGTCCATGTGTAACAGCATCTCTCAAACACATATTTCTCCATTGACAAGAACAAAGAAATGAGATCTGAACACTGTGTGCACATTACTCCTGCCAGCCTGCAGAAGCCGCTCAGCTGCTATTGATCTCTCCAACAACTGATTCTTTGATCATGAAGATGATTCCTTCAGTTTGCTGGGGCTTAGAACCTTACTAGCATCAAAGCAAAATATTTACTTAAGCACCAAAGAAACAGTAAAGTTTGTTTTGATTTCCATTAAAAACCAGTTTTTTAGGAGTGAATAAAACAAATCCATTGGAGGAGCTGTCAGGGCATGGTATGTAAAGATCCTAAACAAAATATTCCAGGGATACTTCGAACTTAGTTACTATTTTGAAAAGGAAGATGCTTTCTTTTCTTCTGTGGCAAATATATAGCGAGCTTAACCTGAACAAATCTGCCTGATAGGTCCTCAAATTCTTATTTTATGTCTTACACAAAAATGCAGGTAATAGCTGATTTTATATTAAACATGCATGGAGAAGGCCCTGATAATCAGTATTAGAGAAGAAAGTGCATAAAATATTGAAAACTTTGTAATGGAGTTTTCAAATTGAGTTCCATCTTTTCCTTTATAATAGAGGAGACTGACAGAAGCTATTGATTGCTGATAATACGCATCCATTTACTAAAAGCAGGAAGAGAAATGCAGAGAGAGGGAACATTTGTAAAATTATGCATTAAAAATCACAGCAAATATTTATTGACTTATATGCGACCCTTTTGCACTTTTTCTCTAGGCACTCAATCTGTCTTGCACTGTCTGGGGAGATCCTACCCCAGAAGTCTCATGGCTGAAGAACGAAAAATCGTTTGTGTCAGATGCTAATTGCATCCTGAAATTCGAAGCTGGGAAAAATGTCAGCTTCACCATTTCTGCTGTGTCCACACACGACTCTGGGAAGTACAGCCTTGTGGTGAAGAACAAGTATGGAACGGAGACCAGTGATGTCACCGTAAGTGTGTTCATACCAGAGGAAGAGCAAGAGAACAATAATGAAAATAAGAAAACGAAAGCGTGAATCTAAGAGTAGAAACAAAAGCATAGGGGAGATTTTGGATGACAATGTTGACATAAAATGTGTGTGTAAATGGCTTTCTGTTTTAAGCAGGTAGCCTTGGATTTTTCCATTCACTTCACTTGTGTTTCTAATGTGCTCAATTGTGCCAGGGAAAATAGTGCCTTTCCTGAATACTTCCTTACTGCTAACTTCACAAAACCTAGCTGTGCCATCCTCACCTAGGCCAAATGCATGCTGGCTGAAAACACATTTGCACAATTTTACCTCGTTCCTGGGGTGTTGGACCCCACAACACAAACAGAGTGAAGAAGCATTTGAGTGGAGGCAACTGGCAAGATAGATGGAAAAACTGAAAAATGATCAAGGCATTTTTGAGCAGCAGTTTAGGTTTGTTCCAACTTTGGTAATGTAGCATAGATGGAATGTGTTAGCAAATTCAAACAATGGAGAAATTAGTGCTGGTCTTCGTCTACATTAAGGCCCCTCTGTATTGCTGTGTTAATTTAGAGAGGCCTTAATATGGGTGTAGATTACATCCATAAATATTGCTTAATCTGCCCAATTGGGGTAAAAGTACTGTAATATAAATGAAAACTAGACTTAGGAGGACGGAAAACTAATGTGTGCATGTGTCTGCAGAAATGTATGATCTCTATGTTCACAAATAAATGGATTCACTTCTTTCATTCTGTCACGAGTTTGTCTCACTGTGTCATGTTTTGGAAGTCACAGCTGTCCTGGTTGTTCACATCACCTTACCATCTTAACACTCACCACTATTGCTTTTAGCTTTCCTTTAGATCCACATTAATCTTCACTTAGCTTTTACCAGAAAAATCCTGATGGCATCACTTCACGTTTTTCTGTCCAGACCTTCACTGCTTCACAACTCAACAAGGCATTCTTGCCAATTCAGCCACAGGTGTAGTTTCATGTGGTTCTGATCATGAATTTTGATAGAAGGGTATTAGGTAAGTACATTGTTAGACTAAAACCTCAGACAATTTCATCCACAATTAACACTGGAGATCAGAAATAACATATTTATTCAAGATCCTTTGAGAATACAAAAATAATTTTAATTGGAAAGTAGAAAAAAATTTTTTTTTTCCAGGCAAGAGTATTTCAGAACCTTTCATCCAAATCCAAAAATATTTCAGAACCATTCGTCCAGATCCAGAACTCACTTCTTTAGATTAAAAGCTTCTTGTTAACCATTTTGCAACAATATCACTGATTATTAACTGAAAAATAGCAATGGAACATGTCTACTTCCATTCAATTGGATGTGTGCATATCATATGATGTAGAAGACGTTTTGTAAGGGTATTTAGCAACAGGACAAGGGAAATGGCTTTAAAGTGGAATATGGTAGATTTAGAGTAGATATTAAAAATAAATTCTTTACTGTGAGGGTGGTGAGACACTGGAACAGGTTGCCTGTAGAGATTGTGGATGCCCCATCCCTGGAAGCATTCAAAACCAGGCTGGATGGGGCTGTGAGCAACCTGGTCTAGTGGGAGGTATCCCTGCCTATAGCAGGGGGTTGGAACCAGATGATCTTAAAGGTCCCTTCCAACCCAAACCATTCTACGTGATTCTATGATAAATGCTCATGAGCTGTTTTCAGCCCAATTGCTAGCTAGGAGAGTAATGTACCATATTAATAATTCTTTTCAGAATTAGTCTCAGAATTGCACAGTTCTCCACATCAAAATCTAAAGAACTGCTATATGTATTTTCAGTGTTCTGTATAAGGATATATCTGAGTGTACTCTTCACATACTTTCCCTTGTCATTTTTAACTACAGCAACTGCAGAAACAGTGCTGTTTCCTAGGCACTCATTTTATTGCAGTACTGGCTTTTCAGGAAGAAAGGACGGGCAACTTGGAGAGAGTACAAGGAAGTTGCTAGCAAGGAGAAAATCAGAAAGACTAAAGGCCAGAATGAACTCAACCTGGCCACTGTGGTAAAGGATAACAAAAAGGAGGCCTAAGGAGAATCAGGTCTAGCTAGCATGGGTTCATGAAAGGCAGGTCTTGCCTGACCAAACTCCTCTCCTTCTAAGACCAGCTGACAGCCTGGGGGATGAAGGAAAGTCTACTGACATAGTCTTAATTACTGGAGCCCATCCTGTTCAATATCTTTATTGATGATTTAGATGAGGGGCTTGAGGGAACCCTCAGTAAGTTGGTAGAAACTCCAAGTTGGAAGGAAGTGTCAATCTGCCTTTGAGTAGAAAGGCCTTACAGAAGAGTCTGGATAGGTTGGATATATGGGCTGAGGCCAATGGGATGAAGTTCAACAAGACTAACTGTGAACCCTGCATTTTGGTCACAACAACCCCAGGCAGTGCTACAGGCTTGGGGCAGAGCGGCTGGAAAGCTGCGTGGAGGAAAAGAATGTGGGAGTGTTGGTCAACACTCAACTGAACATGAGCCAGCAGTGTGCCCATGTAACCAAGAAGGCCAATGGCATCCTGGCTTATATCAGAAATAGTGCTGCCAGCAGGAGTAGGCAGGTGATCATCCCTCTGTACTCAGCACAGATGAGGCCACACCTTGAGTACTATGTTCAGTTTTGGCCCCTCACTACAAGAAAGACATCAAGGCCCTGGAGTGTGTCCAGAGAAGGGTAACAAAGCTGATGAGAGGTCTGACTGGCCCCTCCTCAAAGGTAATACCAATAGGGCAAGAGGGAATGGCCTCAAGATGCACCAAGAGAGATTCAGGTTGGATATTAGGAATGACTTCTCCAAGAGAGTGGTAAAGCATTGGAATAGGCTGCCCGGGGAGGAGGCTGAGTCACTGTCCCAGGAGGTGTTTAAGGAAAGGGTAGATATTGGAACTTAGGGACATGGTTTAGTGGATATTTGTGGTAGGTGGAGGTTGGACTAGATGATCTTAGAGGTCTTTTCCAGTCTTAATGATTCTATATTCCATGATTCTGTGAAGATGACACTAATAAGTTCTGCTCAGCTAATGCTTACTTAAATCCTTACCATCTGAGGCTTAATGCCAGCCATAGCTAATGATAAAGGCCAAGTGGATTTGTGAGGGATTTCTTAATGTCCAGTACCATGAAAAGTACTACATGCTACCTTTATCTGGCATAAATTTATTTTCTTCTAGAATTAATTTCACATCAGAGGGATTTTTAACATTAAATTACATAAAAGTATTGTGTTTTCAGAATCTCACATAAACAGCAAATGTATTCAGTCATTACACAATCTTAACTGCTAAAATATTTCAAACTCAAATATTTAATGGGATTCTTGCAATCTTAAGTGTGCAATTACGTACATTAATGAATCACAATCTCAGTTAAAAATAGTTCAGACTATTTAGTTACTGTAGCTGTCTTTCAAAGTAAAATGAATTCATTATTAATTTTCAAAATACAATCAGGGGAATATCTGTAATTTGAGATGCAGCAAGCTTTCTGAGTTTAAAGAAGAAATGTCAAATTATTTCACAATTTTACTTAGTATGATAGGAAGCCAGCCCAAGGATGAAAAGTAGGTCATTCTGTCCTGGTCCCAGAGCATGTAAAAGCAATATTTCATCTCTTGTCCATCTTCCCGAGCCCAAACAAGAATTTGACTTGCCCCTTGCAAGACCTGACATTTATTACTTAGTATTAGAATAATCTAAATAAGGATTGCATTTGGGCGGTAGCTTGTTTCTACTACTTCGTCATCAAAAATCTCTTCACCTGCCTCTATCCATTCAGCAGAACTGCAAGGTAACACAAGAATTGGGCCACCTCCCAGATAATCTGGATTCTGCATCCCTTTGGTTCAGAAGGTGTACATGCCCTGAAATTATAGTTGTTTCTATACATATTGCTCCCAGGGACTCAGCTATGATGATTTCAAACAAAATTTGTCACACATTGCCATTTCTCGCTTGTGCAATTTTGTTCTTGCTCTGCTACAGGTGATTGTGATTACTGTGTCAGGCCAGACTGACACAGCTAAGCACACTGTTAGCATCTCAGGACAAAGTCAAAATAATATAACTGTATCTAAAAAGAAAAAAGCAACTACTATGAGCAAATCACAGCAGGAAAAGGAAAAGAAAGGTAAGAACATTTTCACCTTTGCAGATGGCCGTTCCAAAGGAAAAATTGTTAAATGTTATGCAATAATAGTCTGTATCAATCATTGCCTTCCAGGTCCCAAACAATCCAGTTTACAGCACACATGCCCTTAACTGACAACAAATATAAAGAAGGAATTTCCAGGTTAAATAAAACCTAGTGATATTTAAATCAACACTTTTAAATCCCTGTCCTACTGAGCTACAGGCTCTCATCTTGGCTTACCTGACTGATAAAAGCTTTTAAAGCGTAATAATACAGTCAAATTGCTGATTGCAGAGAAAACATGTATACACACAGAGATTATTTTTATCAGCTAGATAAACGGCACTGTCAAAAAAATAGGCCAGGGTAATTAAGGGACCACAGATGCCAAAATAACTTAATTTTCTCAACCAGTTTTTATTTTTTTTTTCTGACCAGATAGCTACCATTTGAGATCAGTGAATTGTTCTTTCTTAGTTTTATCTCCACATTTGATGACAAAGTTGGAATTACAACCATCTTTCCACTCAGAGTAGAGAAAGAGCAGAATACAAAAAAGTCTCTGGTGGTTCAGCATTCTTGTATATTACAGATTGTTACCCTTATTTTAGACTCTTCTATAAGTGTTGCTTGGACATTGATTTATTCTTCACAATTACATTTTCCTCATTCAGAGCATCTTATCTCCAAATAAGGCTTAAATTCCAACATTATCAGAATATATATTTTATATACTTTGCCCAAATACTTTTTGTTTATATACATTTGCACAAACAAAATATTGCAAAAACGTTATATCATTACTGACAGACCGTTTTATATTCTTATTTCCTCCCCTTTCTGTTGCTAAAGCATGAAGCAGTAATTAACTGCATTTCTTTTCTCTCTCGGTTGCTGGTATGGGTGACTTGGACATTTCTGAGCAGTTCTGTAAATGTGATTACTTACATGAGAAGCAATTATTTCCGTGTGTACATATTCTGCAGGTCCCATCCATTAATTTATTTAATTAGGGACATAAATACTTGGTCTTGCTTTGGCTCTCTGAAAAGTACTGACGCTATTTGTGATACTGAATGTCTTTAAATGGGTGTGGGAAAAGGAATGGAACATACCTCCATGATGCTGAGCATAGTAAATATAAATAAATTTTATTACTTCTCCTAAATCAGATATTAAGCCACATGTAGATGAAGTTATTGCCACAGAAGAGACATCTGATTCAAAAGAAATCCCCAGAGTGGAAAAAGAAAAGAATATAGAGAACAATCAAGAAACAGCAAAGAAGACTCATGGAAAGGCTGCAGCAGCAAGAACAGTTCCTTAACCTATAGAAAGCCTGGGAATGGGGGAAAAAAAAATCACTGGGGAAAAAAGCCTTGAGTTAAATCCTGTGTTCCTGAATGAAGAGTATGAATTTGCTATGATCTTACTATGTACTAATAAGTTCAAGTTGAGATTTCATGAGTGATAGACTAGCCATATTATTTTAACACAAAAGTGTGAGTGTTTTTATACGATTCATAATACTTCATAACTTTAAACACATAATAGGTGTGCAGTTACGTCTCAGTATCTGCCCCGTCTCAGTATCATTGCTAAGTATCACGACAACAACCCATTACTAACAAGGTAATTTCAATTACTAAAAATATCCATGAGAAGCAGAGGTTATTAGAATGAATCCTGTCCAGAAGTGACTTATCTACTAATCTGTAAAAGAATGTTGAAATCAGTTACATGGATTTGTTAATCAATACTTGTAGACCATCATATTTTGAGGCAAATACCATTTACTTTCTCTGAGTATGTACGATCCTCTTAATGCCTTGTGGGTGACACTCTTCACCATGACCACTGAGGCCACAGGGGGAGATCTCCAGAAGCAGAACCATCTCCTATGGCCACAGGAAAGCCACAAGTGGGTTTTCTTTTGTTATAGGTTTCTTTCATCCACATCTCATTCATCAGATGGCTGAATGTTTGGCCACTTCTTACCACGTGACTGCTTTTCAGTCCTTTCCACTTCATCAGTTCCTTCCCAGTCCTGATGAGGTACTGTGGATATTACAGTACTAATCCAGAAACCATCAGCTGCCCCAAGTGCTCATTTCTCCATGCCATTTTTGCTATGGCAACCATGTTTCTGCTTCCAAGACCTGACAAATCCACTGTTCTCCTTCCCCTCAGTAACTCAGCCCCACTATCAAAATAGTTAACTATCTCGTTCTTCCCCTCACCAGCATCAGACCCCCGCTTTCATAAGAAAGAGTATAGCTATACATTAAGCCTACCAATACACAGCCTTCATAAATGACTACATACAAGCCAAGAATCTCTACTTAAGTCATTAATGTGTTCAGTGTGGAAAAAAGAGTAGAAATTTAGATAAGATATTGGGGAAATTTTTCACTCAAGAGTGGTGAGGCGCTGGCACAGCTGCCCAGAGATATGGTGCCCCATCCCTGGAGGCACTCAAGGCCAGGTTGGATGGGGCTCTGGACAGCTGAGCTGCTGGGGGTCAGCCCTGCTCATGGCACGGGGTGGGACTGGGTGGGCTTTGAGGTCCTCTCCAATGAGGATGTATGAAAATTCAATTTGTTTGTGGGTATCCTGGAGGAAGCAGAGTTCAAGCTAAAAAAGAAAAAAACAGATCAATAAAGCAAAGGTCAGAATTTCTTTTGATAATATGCAAGCAAATCCAACTTTTAAGTAATGAGAAATTATTAAGTATGTGAAATAAACATGTTTAATTACTAGGAAAATATGTTCATTGATTTCCACTCTCAAAAAGCTCAGTCATATTATGTTGGCTTTTTCCAGATGGCTTACTGATGAAAGATTACTAAATCCTGTTGATATTTCTAGGGTGTTAGATCTATGACAAAAGTGGATATGCTGAAAACACAAGAAGCATCACATTTCTAACACACCATGATAGAACTGTTAGCATGAAAAAAAACAATAAAAAATTTTAAAACATTTAAATGTTTAACACCTGAGACACTTACACCTGTGAAATCCATTTCTTTTCAATAAAAAATCCAAAAGAGCTCTTTGCAATTCTTTTTGAAATCAATAGAAAGATTTCTGCCTGCATGAAATGTTTTTACATTGCTTATGTGTAAGCAATTACAGTAATAATTGAAAAGATAAAGTATTCAAACAACTTAGATGACCCACAGAAAAATGTAAGATGCAGCAGAGAAAAAAAAAAAAAAGGCAGAGTAAAATATTGACTGCTACACCAAAATAATAATAATAATAATAGTAATAATAATAATGAGGAGGAGAAACTTGAAATAAGACTGAATTAAATCATCTAAATCAACTAAATAATCCTACTAGACTTAGCTACAGTTTGGCACAGTGGTAATTCAAAATTACATTGCATCTTGTTTTTGCATCCATGTATCATTGTTTAAATTCCTAGAACATTGGAGGAGTGTCATTACCTAAGTGTAGGTCCCCTACACAAACACAGGAAGCAGCATTTCTATGCTAGGAGAAATGTTAATTACAACCCTAGTACATACAGGTTCCCATGCAGCTGTTAGAAAAAACGATAGATACCTATAGATGTATGATTACTTTGCTCTGCCACTGAAAGACAGAGGTTGGCCTTTCAAAATATTACAAAGCTGCGGGTTGTTTCACACAACTCTTAGCTGCTCTTTGCCCTGGTAATTATTTCAACCTGACTTACCTCTCTGAAAATCCATCACTTCTTACAGCTCCTTTGGGTTGTGAGTCTGTCTCTCACACGCACCAACGGCAGTAAGTTATAAATAGAACCAATTCTACCATCAAGAGCCTGATCCAATTCCTGTAAGATGCCACAGGGCTTTTTTTTTTCATGTGTTTTAATAGAAAACATGCTGGATCTTAGAAGAACACTCTAAAAGAGTCCCAAACCTCAGATTAAAAAAGCCCACTTTGCTCCCTGTGAAACCAATGGTGGGTTTATTTTTGCTGTCACTTTAGCAGAATCAGGTCTTGAATTTTTGTTGAAAGAAAACTCAGAATTTTCCTGATATTTCAATTAAATGCAGTGACAATGCTTTAAAAATTAAATTAAAATGGACCAGAGCTTGGTTTAATTTCAGTTATTATTATTATTATTAATCTTGGATAGTTACTTACAAAGCTGGAAACTGAGTCTATTTTGTTCTACTGAAAATTATGTTAGCTACAAATACAGCATTGCTATGCATAGTAATCAAAAAACACAAACATTTCAAATGTTAAAGAATATTTTAAATTATTTTTTACTATTCAATCTGTAGCTGTTCACAAATGTGCAACAAAATGTTCAACATTAATATTAGCAGAATTGCTGAGTATATTGAAGTTTATTATGCTACAATAGTTGAATTTTTGGTTGTTGTTGCAATCTTACTGTAAAATTTACATCCAGTTCTCCATGATAATTATGGAAATTGTCTCAATCTCTGTCTTACATAACGACAGAATGCAAATTATTTCTGAAGCCATAAAATTTCCTATCAAACACAGAGCCATTTGGCTATATTTAAAATCAGACACTGGCCACAATGTTCAACTGAAGCTCCACTTCTGGATCAAATCTCTATGTCACTTATATATGCCATTCCAGCAGTCTGGAACATACTGGAATATTCTTTACATTGTAATTTATAACCATATAATAAATCCCTATTCTAGTATTTAACAGAGTGGGAAACTGATGTACACGAGCTATATTATCTAATCACCTCCCAAAATTATAAAGAGTGTATTTCAAAAATTAAAGATGTGAAGAACAGGCTTTGCACAGCACTGCAGTAAAGACATTGTGATTCTACACGTCTCTGAGCTCTGAATATTAGTGCTGGATTTGTTGCCAGTTACTAAGGAAGATCTTTCAGTTGTCTGAGACTGATTAATCATAATTTGCTAATGCATAAAGTGATAGTACTTGAAGCAGCAAGCTGCAAAGTGAGGTCATCCTTAAAGCAATTAGTCTAGGGTAGGCCTCTGCTCTGTGTCTTTGGAAAGAAGGCATGGACAGTATTTCATTTAAACTGCACTTGCACTGACTGGACACCCAAAACAAATCTTTCCATGCTGCAAGTTGTGTTGCTGAAAGGACAATAACTTTTAAGAACTGAAGGGAAAAGGGTAACAAAAGCAGTAAAGAGAAAAATGTAAGAGAAACTGATCTGTTCCACAAGTGCTGCTGGAGATGAAGGTGAGAGGCAGGGAGGGGAAGAGGCTGAAAGCCAGGACAGGAAGGAAGGCACCAGATTCATCTGCAGTCTTACGCAGGCTTCCCTCCTTGTCTCATTTCCCACTTTACATGAGATGTCTTTCCTGTAATCTTCCTCTTCTGCACATTTTCAAGCACAACATCTTTACTCTCCTGTTTCTCAACTTCTGTCTTCTATCATCCATCCTATTTGATGGAGTCATTTCCACTTAATGTTTCATCACTCTCACTAACACAGTAGTAACATACAAACTCCTGCTTAATTAGGTTGTGATTTTGACACAGATAAGGATCTCTACCGTATCTAAATCAGAAAATAGTTTGTGAAACGCCTGACTGACAAAGAATGGAGAAATGTTGCTCAGCTGAGACTTGATCTGAGTGTGCTGACTGAGCCCAACACCCTAAACCAACCCAAGCCATCAAGCATAGTGGAACAATCAGTGTGCCTAAATATCTGGGTGTCACAGAGTAGAGTCTTAATGGGGAAATATAACAGCAACACTTGTGGTAAACTGGCAAAATGAGCATAAATGAGTTGGCGTGTTTCTTGCAGTCTGGAAGCCCTGATTTAACTGCCAGAGAGGTACAGTACAGTTCAACAAGGATTGCAAATCACTCACAGATATAAAAAGAGAGATCTTACCTACACCAATACATGTATAACCCCATACAAACAAAATGGAAAAAAAATCTCAGTACAGATGCAGAAAATGCAACCCATTTTTACAGTTAATCTGTGTCTAAGTACAAAAGAGTAGAGAACATAAAAGGAAAATACTGAAGGCTGTTTACTTTTACAGCCTTCTGGTTGTCTGGTGATGCTAAGTTTGGAAAGGAAAAGATTACCTGAAGAGAAAACATTATGTTTTCAAATGAATACGCTTTTAATCAGAAGCTCCTATTCCAGATCTGAAATACAAAAGTGTAACTTACCAATTTGTTACCCCTTTTCAAGTAAAGATTTTTCGGCAAGCTAAGAAGCTTCTGGAGAAGGCCTAATTTCATCATAGCTTAAATTTGATATTTGAGGACATCTGATAATTTTAGTCTCTCTTATCTCCCCACAAACTGTCCTGTCCAGTATTGGAAAGGAGAGCTCCCTCAACTGAAAAATCACTTGCTGCTATGACTGACAAAGATAAGATCATGGAAACACAAACAAAATTATTGTTAGAGCAATTGCTGGTGTGGTTTCCCTCACAAACTGAGGGAACTAAGATGCCAAGTAAGGAACTCAGGGAAATGACCTATTACAAATGGTTTGCTTTTTTAACTGAAGCACATACAATGTGCTTGCAGCAGATGTTGTGCTGTGTATAGGTTATTATTATAACACTATAATAAAATGGGAGGCACCTTTAGAAAACTGCTGCAACTGGACCATGATTGCACTGAAGGGTGGAAAATTGCTCCATTAATTTGTGTTGCATCCATGTACCCAGTGTCCTAGAAAGTGTTCCAAGTCTGACACTGAATTTACAACGTGACAACATAATCAAAATGGACAGGTGTGAAATCATACCTCTCTATATAATACAGTCACCCTGCCCATGTAATTCTGTGCTTGTCTCTTCTTCCATGGACTGCTTGCTTTGAAAAACAGCCTGCAAGCACTGTGGGGATAGATTTTTTAGTTCCATGCTCAAAGGGATTACTTGCAAATAAGCAAAGTGACTATAATCTTTTAGGCAGCTTGTACCAGGCGGTACAGATCAATAAAGAGACCTTCTTATCTGTTTGTAGGACTGGCACAAAAGGTTTCCAAGGAGACTTTTTAGAGATATGCAGACTATCATAGTCAACTTCAGCTATGCAGCCCTTGCAAGGCAGCATGTCATTCTGTCAGCTGAATACTCTGTTACTCAGTCTATTTTTTTAATGTGACAATTATCCCAAAATGGCTTTAAATAAAGGGAGGAGCAAAGCCAAAATCAAGTCAGTAGACGAGAAAGTAATTGGTAAAGAAAACAAAACAAAAATTAATAGGCAACAATGGAGAGTGATAAAACACTGAATTCACACAGGGGAGACCTGAGCTGTATTTCAAGCTATGCTTTTCTTCCCTTTCTTCTCCCTTCTCTATACTGCAGATTGTTAAGGGTGAGAATATCATCCTGTTTCAGTACGTGCTGTACCTCACTATCAACTGTGGCCTCCGGGCAGCAGGCTGAGTCAAATCAATAATAACACATAATCGGGGCAGCAGCCACGGTGGCTGATGGGGTGAATC